TTCTAATAAAGTTCTTTTTTGTTACTGTTCGTGTTTGCCTGCTTAATGTTAGATCTAAACATCAGTAGGATTGAATGACAAAGTGGTGACCCGAACGTGATCCGATTAATGAACTACCTGGACTTTCGACTGAATTGGATAGCGAACAACTCTGTGTCTATGATGGAACTTTTTTAANACACTGTCTGGCAACACTTGCCAAGATCACGAACTCTGTCTGGCAACACTTGCCAACAAGAGTGGCTGGCAACGTCAAAAAAGAAAAGGCGCGAAAGTTCGTTGGATTTTGTCCGGGTGTTGCCCGAGGATGTCTGTGACAGTTCTAACCTTTTCTAATAAAGTTCTTTTTTGTTACTGTTCGTGTTTGCCTGCTTAATGTTAGATCTAAACATCAGTAGGATTGAATGACAAAATATAATTATTATTATGTATTTAATACGTATTTTTTATTTAGATATTACATTTGAAAATCAACATGAATGTGAAAATGAGTCTTCTCCTTGGTCTGACAGCCATTATTTTTCATCGTAAGTAGTTTTTTATTCGAGTTTACATGTAAACGTTAGTCTAACGGTGGTTATTATTTAGGAACATCGTAGATAATTTTATAATTGATTTCAACTATAAGAGGAAAATAATAATAGCCTTCAAGTATATGAAAAGTATGTATATAGCTATATTATAATGCCAGCATTTTGATATTAAATGTAATTTTCATTTTCTTTGCCATTTTTGCGAGGTGAGATAAGAAACAATGACGTGTTTAGGTTAGAATATTACAGTCCTCGCCACTATTTAAGTAAAGGATGGCAAAGTTTATTGCAAAGAAGATTAAGAAATTATTGCAAAGTTTGAAAGAAATAGTTTATACTTTTCAAAATTTAGTAGAACGTTTCTTCAATAGCGCACGAATTCAATAAGTTTTAACTATCTCAAATAATGTAATAAACACGAATTAACACCTAAAACAGTAATTTTGAGGGTGACGTTTATATTCTTACTTAATTTATTAGCTATATTTTTATATTGGGGAAAATAGGGAAATAACAATAAAACAAATAATGAAAATTCTTCTTTTGTATTCTTGCAGTTATTTTGGAAACAGAAGCCGCACCACCTCTCGATTGCTCCGCTGTCGATGATTGTAATGGATATTGCAAGAATATAACAAACATGGCGTGTGGAATATGCGTAACAGATGATGAGGGAAACAATAAATGTAAATGCTACCGAAATATTAATTCATGTGTAAATCAAGCAACAACAACAGCAATATCTATTGATGATGCTTGATTGTCTTGATTGTGATGATTGATGAAGTTAATTTCCTGTTGACTATTAATATGCCTCAAAACCAAACTTATCATAACGACCACAAATGTCTTTATCGTTTCATTTTTAGTCATTTAAACTCATTTGTAGTCGTTACGATGAGTTTGGTTTTGAAGCATATTAATAGCCAGTAGAAAACTAACACGATTATTCAAACAAGATACAATTTAAACTACAATTAAATGAAGTTTCTCGATAATCCAATGTAAGGAGCGTCGTAATCTATAATAAAAATCTAAATAAAGTTATACCACTTGTTTATTCTTTCTGCTAGAAAACACAAAAAGTGTTTTTAATATGTCCATTATGAATTCGGCCATGACCGCAATGAGAATGCCTGAATGATAAACGACATAAATATATATTCGAAATAGAGAACTAATAAAAAATTATTGATCTAAATCAAGAATTATTTATTAATTCCCTACTTCAGACAGGTTTTATTGTGTTTACAATGTAGTACTTCGATAGTCATTGGGTTGCAATTTGAAGAAATTGTAGATCTTTAAATTCCCACTGTCGTCCGTCTGTCTCACTGTCTGTCTCTCCTTAATCTCGAGAACGGAGTAAGACGAGACCAGATTCGGAAAGCATAGAAAAATGTGGCCCCGATTAACTATATACAAACGTCCTGTTTTAATCGAAGTCGTGTTATTTCAATTCAAAATTTTTCCCTCGATGCTGTTAGATAGATGACCGGCACGACTCTATTGCTAGAGGAAAAGTACGATGTATAGGGGCAAGCCACTACTAATTTGAGGTAAAGAGCAGTGGCGTAGCGTGGATGTCAGCCGCCCGGGGCGGAGGAAAATTTCGCCGCCCCCTTATTTAGGTATCTCAATTTAAAAGACTAAAATTCAGTTTCGTCACAGAATAAGTAATGAAAAATTCCGTGCTCATTTCAATCGGTCCGAATCGTGGGTGCGACAAAAATAGGAAATGAAATGGTTCAAATTTTTACAAGATATTATTATTTATTGTGAAATTTTACCGCCCCTGCCCCCCACTACGCTACGCCACTGGTAAAGAGTATATATTTTAAATTAATTAAAAATATAATTAAAAATTGCAGCCCGACATTGTGACCACGTCATAAGATATAATTGCTGGTCATGATTAAATTTCTTAATTTATGTTCATTTTTTACTACGACTAAATTCAACTGAATTTTAATATTAAAATAATATAATATATTTAAAGTTAAACTCAATTGAACTTCAATAAAATAAAATATTTACCGGTATCTTATAATATCGTATGTAAAATTAGAATTAAATTTAATATATTAAATGAGTATTTCACTTTAACACCCATATATTGGGCAAGAACAGACCTCTCACCTAGACAGCACGTGCAGGCCCTCGAACGTTACGTAGCACGCACACATCGATTTGACTAATTGCGGACAAGAGTTCATCGGAGAAAAGGTGACCAGCCAGAATCTCCATATTAGAGAAGAAAGAAAGAAAGAAATGAGTATTTCTTGAACACGAGTTCGGTCGTGGAATCGCGTCTCACCAGGAGGTGCTGGGCACGTGTGTTTTCTAAACGTTTTTAATAACACCTGTACTTTTGTCGACGTTTCTGAAATTTTGCGGGGAGATTGATGCAATTAAATTTTGGTGGTTTAAGATATTCGGGGTGGGGAGATAAAGAGGTCGTGTTTTATATCTCGAGTAGGGTCGGTAAATTAAATATAACAAACCCCAGTATAGGGGGTAATAATTCTTAATTGCTTAATTATTGTATTTTTTTGTAACTTTATGATTTTTAAATATACGAGCGCTAAGATGGCTTTTCTTTTCCGCTAGACTTATTACACCATCAATGAAACGGAGGACAAACTTTAGAAAGACTTCTTATTTATTTGAGTATGCATTTGCGGAAAAGAAAAGCCATCTTAGCGCTCGTATATTTGAACATAAGACTAGACAAGAAGCGTATGGCATAACTTGATTTTGTTGAAAGTTTTGTTGAATTCAAATTAAATATAACTAATCCCTGGATATAAGGTAATCCCTCATTGTGTAATGATTTAACTGATAATAATTTACTTTTAGAGGGGTGTTTTTGTAGGTATTGGAAAATAATTGGGCTGCAATTTGCAATTGAAAAAATTGTAAACCTATAGATTCCCACTATCGTCTGTCTCTCCGTCCTTCCTTAATTAATCTCGTGAACGGAGTTAGATACATAAAAGTCAAGACCAGATGTAGAAAGCTTAGGGGTAGGATGCCCCAATTAACTATATATGAACCTTCGGTGCAAAGCGGAAGTTACGTTATTTCAATTCAAACTTTTCCTCTGAAAGATGTTAGATAGATGACCTATTTTGTTAAAGGAAAAGAATGATGTATGGGGGTAATTTCAGGTAGAGAACATATACTGTATTTTAAATTAAGTAAAGTAAAAATATGAATAAAAATTGCAGCCGGGCATTGTGGTGTTAACCAAATTTTGCAAGAACTTTGATCATGTTAACCAAATTTGTTTCGCTACCAACAATTTAATTTTGTAAAAAATATTTTAAATGATTATCTAAATATATACCGGTATGTACTTTCTTCTTTCGTTTTTACAAAATACAGTATTAAGATGTTTCCAATAACGGCACTAGGACTTTCAGTCTGGGAGCGATAACTTTCATTAAGTTATATAGTTTAAGTGGGAAAAAGTTCAGCGGTAACATTTAATTACTTGGCGAACAATCAATTCATAGTTAAAGAAACTCCCGAATAATGGCCAGTATGGGTAGATTCGATTATTTCAGGATGATGGGACGGGTGGGATAGTCCCACCCTCGCTCCACCATATTTGCCTCCTGCCAGGGATGAGTCCTAAAATTTGTATGGATCAACCCAGTGACTCTAGTGACAATTTGATGAATAGCATTCAAATCATTTCAAAAATGGCAATTTACGTCTTGCAGTTATAATTATAATTTTAAATAAACAAATTCCAGTATAAGGTGGTTGTGGCAACATAGTTTCTGTTAGAACTTTTTTGAATGCGTCCTTGAAAGTTATTAAAAAAAGGAAGTTTATTTGTATTCTTGTAAGGAAATATACTTTTTAAAGAATATTAAAAAGTGTATACGAGTATAAGTGAGCTTACTTTTATTGTTACATGTATAAATGTTTGACTTAAAAAGTAACTTAGCAGTCCAGAAAGTGTAATGTTAACTGATACATTTAATTTTATGTTTCACGAATATTTGTTCTTACAAACATCCTAATTTCATCATTTAACCCTTTGTAATAATTTCATCAAAGTTGTCTTTAGTGTAGCAATTAGTCTATAAAGGCAGAAATAAAACTTAACCTTTGATTTCTGTAGTTTGTCTGGTCACTCTTTTGTTCAGGAACCTAAGCTGTAAATGATTAAAACTAAAAAATAATCTGTTTATTACATAATTCGTTTTAAGTAAATTAACAGACATACATATGTAATATATGCATTGTTATATTTGAACCTTAAATAAACTATTACAAGGATTATGTTAAATTATAAGTATTATTATTTTCATTGTTAGTGAACACACATTATTATGCACCAAATTATATGAATTTCAACATAATTTCTTGAGTGTCATTTATTTCTTTTTCTTATATTATATATTCTTATATTTAAAGAGATATATAAGATATATATTTCTCTTTATATATAAGAGAAAAAAATATAATCAATCACTCTCAAGAAATTATCCATATACAGTATATATAATTAAATATATTGAACTTTTATTCGTACTGTACATTTATAATGCACAAAATTCATGACATTAATAGTATCGTGTCATCTCATTTCTACAGAAAAGAGTATTATGTAATAGTTATTATGTATTATATAATTGTAAAATAATTATATAAATACATTACACATAATACAAATCTACAACATCTATTACATATCAAAGCACAACCATTGTTTCAAATTACAAATACTATTATAAGAATAAGAGCATTTGCAAATTCAAAGTATTTTAAAATAATTTATGTATTTTTTACTTCAGAGAAAACTTCTAAAACTCTGAAATGATTTTCCATAGATCTCTCCTCATCTTCAAAATGCATTGTTCTTTCAACTTTAACACCAAACCTCTTCAAAGTTTCTCTAAATAATTTTTCTTCTTTTCCAATCCAAGGTCTAAAATTACACTGCATCTGATAAGGTGTGACATGGATAATTACATTAATGTTAGTATCGGCAAACTGTTTAAGTACCGTTTTATTACCGATCCAAGTATTTGATCCACCGGAATGCCCGCCCTCCAACCAATACATGGCCTCGATACTCTTAACAAAACTATCTAATTCTATAACTTTTTCATCTTGATAAGCTTTAAAAGAATGCAACATTTGATTTAAAACAACACACCCTTTGCTAAATCCTATGATTATTAACGGAATTACATTTCTGCATGCAACAGAACAAGTTTGATCCGAAGAATTCTCTGATGAAATTTGTTCCTTGGCTTTATCAAGAAGAGCTTTCATATGTTTTAATGAGTCTGCATTATTAGCATGTTGAGGAACACCGACGTCATTACTTTTCACAAAATTATCATAACAACTAAATGTATTTAAATGCATTCTTGATGGCCTAATAATGTATATATTTGCCGAAGGAAATCTAGAATGAAGTAAAGCGGCCGTGTTTTCTAAATTCCACTTACCATGACGTTTATTATCCCTGTGACTCAACATCTTTTCCGGATAATCTTGCACATCTCCGCCGAAGAACACAAGATCGAGCGAAGCAACGGATAATGGCGAGTGATATACGATGTCATTTCTTCTCCCGTCATAACCTTCCACATTCAACAATCTTTTCACCGATGGATGAGAATCCGAATTCATCTTACTTAAATACGCAGAAGATATACATTTGAAAAACACACCGAAGAAAGCATTAACACGTTTCATTCTTCTCACGCATTTTCACTTCACACGGATAAACGGCCATCTTGGAAATTTACTCGTTGCCAACTGAACCTAGAAAGAGAAATTATAAAATCGCCCGAATATCGCCCTTGCATTTTTTAAAATAAGTTCCTTTAAGTAAGTAATAATAATTAATTTGCGTTAATAATATTCTGTAAATATTTCTATTTACGTAATATATAAAAGTTAATAATAAATAAATAAGAATAGATATTTTTATTATAGTGTGTTCGTTATAACTTCGTACAAATACATGTGTTTTAATTTAAAATGCGTATATAATATTTATATTTTAATTAGTTATAATAGCCAGATGTCTGAGATGGATAAAAGCGCCTGCCATTGTTCTCAGTCTGAAGGATCGACGGCCGGATGGCCGAGCGATCAAGGTGGCATCCTACCACTCTGGGGAATCCAGGATCGAATCCGGATAACCAAATACATATTTTATAAAAAATAAAATGTTTTGAGATTATTTTCTAGAAATCAAAGGATTAATTGAGAATAGAATATGTTATAAAAGTTTAATTTGCCTTACATTTTTAATTTGTTATCAAAAATTTTAATATATAAATTTATGAATTAACCTTTAAATATAAAATAACGTAATCGATATTCAACAACGATAATCGTAAAATCTAAAAATTCTTATATTTAAACGTATAGTACAGTACATTTCCCTTAAGAAACGTCAATGAACTTTAGAAATGTTTGTTGTTTAATAATAATTGCTTTCTTAATATCCTAAAAATAAATATTAGAAAATTAGCAAACAAAACATTAAAAATTCAGTATGTGATTAATGATGATTACGTAACATTAAAAATTGTTTAGTATCAAATATTTTTCAATACTGCTTAGAAATAACTACCTAAAATATTCAAATTTGCCTTCAGTCTTTTAAACAGTTACAATTTATATTTAATGTGTAATTATAGTTCAAATTGCAAACAATATACAAATTAAATTTTTATATTCTCTCTTCGAAAAAAGTTTTAAATAAAATATTCGGTCCATTTTGAGTATTTTATCCTTTAGATTCGATGCTTTGAAATCGTTCGTTGAAATTAAAAAAGATCCTTTCTGAGAATTTATTTTTAAATATTTAAAACGTTAACTACGATTAATCACTACCTTATAGATAATAGTGATTACTAGTAACTTATTGGTGTAATTTTTATATAAAAATTATACTTTATTTATATGAAAATATAAAAATAGTGGTCGAACGGGTAGATTGATCGACGATACATTGGTCAGAACTCGATTTCAATTCGTTTCAGGAAGTGAAATAAATTTACAATAACCTTTAGACTGCTTTTGATCAAATCAATCAGTATAGCTAATTATCGATTGAGTAATAAGTTTATTTATTTTGTTAGTTCCGATAGGCTAATGCATAAAGAATATTTTATTTCATTTCAAAGAATGTTAAAAATAGTTTACATGTTTTACAAGTTGGGAAGTTAATCCAGTTTTTCCTCCCATTTATAATTAGATACAGTATTGGTGATATATTTTGTTTATATTTATAAACTATTCTTCATCGAGGTAGGTTCCCCAGAAAAGGAAAATAAGTTTAATTTTGTATACAATAATATAGTGTAGTATTGATAAATAGTAATATATTCTAATAGAATTTCATAAGAATTTAATTTTCAAACTAATTCCGATCTTTAACTATTATCAGAAATGATTAATACTTCGTTATGTTATGATGAATGTTTACACATTAAATTTTATATACTGTAGAATTAATGCTTAATTATTATCTAGTTTATCCATAGAAGGAAACAGCAATTAATTTTAAGAAGGAAATGTTGTGCGTGCGTAATAATGTCAAAATTCTTTTTTCCTTTTCCCATTGATTTCATAGTGATTCTAAACATGTACACATTGCTTTTAAATTTAATCTTATATAACTTTGATATAGTAATAATTTACATAAATATTTAAATCACATTATATAAAATGCAATTAAGCACATGCTCCTTAACGATTATGATATTTTAAATAGCTCTTTTATTGATAAATCTGACATGTTTATTGACATATATGGATATTTTCAATCATCTGTACAATATCAGATTAACGTTGTGGCATCAAAATAAATGATGAAATACAAAATTTATGTCTTAATTACATTTAGTTTTGTAATTTTACTCCCTATCGTGCCGATAATATTCTGGTATAATTCTATTACTTTCAATTTAATAATTAATAAATGCTTTAAAATCAAAAAGTGGATAATAATTTAATTTTTTTAAACATTTCATTACATATACTTGCATTTTGAGAGAATTATTCAAAAACCTTTATCATAATTGCTGATAAGATAATTGCTTTGAATTTCTATTAACTGTGATTTGTAGAAATTAACATAGTCCAATGTTATTGATTACTAGCATGTAAGCTAGGTGTTGTCCGGGCAAAAAGGAAGAACAAACATTAAGATTCTAACCCCTATATTGTATTATGTTATAGAATTTAATTTATATAACTACGAAGGTTATCTTATGTAGCCGATCTTACCCGTTCTCGCTGACCAAGAATTGTCCCCCCTCTGTCCAGGCTAATTAGAGAATTTTTAGATGGGTCTAAAACTGTGTTTAATTTTCCACAAAAATGCAAAAAAAAAAACTGCATTCAAAATAGTATGGTAGAAGCCAAGTTCTTTGTGGTAATCCTTAACCCTCTCTCTTTCTCTCCCTCTCCCCTCAGAGGGGAATTTCCAAAAATCCCTTCTTAGTGTGCATTCTTGTGGCATTCCATAACTACATGTCAAATTTCAACTTTCAACTAACTGTTTGGGCTCTGCATTTAATTATCATCATCATCTATAAAATATTCACAAATTACATCGGAATAAAGAATACCTTGTCCCGTAACCCACGGGAAAGAAGGTACCTATTTCTTCCCCTTTACTGTATTAGTTGCAGTTTACATGTAAATAGTTCCTCTTCTCCTCCCTTTTCCTCTTCTCAACAAGTTTTCAGATGAGCTTTATATACTAGTCTGTTTATTAAGCAAAGTTCAAATATACAATGTTTTTTAAATAAAATTATTCTTGTATATTAAAATTTCTTTTTTAATTTTTANAAAAAAATTGATTTATCTGTATTACTTAATATGTAAATTTTGTTAACTTAAAGAAACATTTTAATTTTAATTTTAATTTTTATTATAAAATTATTGAATTGAATGAAATTTTAAACGGAAAAATGTCAAAAACAAATAAATTAAAATAAAAAAAAAATATGAAGAAAAAAAGCAGACGACATCGGCCATCCATGTTTGAAAATTTAAAATTGATGGTAGGGGGCGCTATGCGTATTTAGCTTTCTGCTTATATGTTGGCTTTGGAGGTGAAATGGCAAGTTTTGAGGCATAATATACGTCAAAAGGTAATTTATAAGTTCTGTAAACAGTTTAAACATTTAATAAACATATATTATGGGATTCTGCGCGCCTATTTTAACATAAAATGTACATATACTAATTAAATTAATAATAATCATTAAATCATTTATAATTAAATTTATTTATAGGCAAATTTATTAATATATTTAAAAAAAAACAGAAAAAGTGTGTTTAAAACCACACACTGCAGTAAAATAACTTCTTATAAATAATATAATAAAGTAAATTATAAGAATAATTATAGAAAAATTAATATTTCTATAATTATTGGTTTGTTTGAAATGAATCTTTAGTTTGTAGTTTAAAATTTGCCTTTCAACTTTTAATTTTTTTAAACATTTCATTACATATACTTGCATTTTGAGAGAATTATTCAAAAACCTTTATCATAATTGCTGATAAGATAATTGCTTTGAATTTCTATTAACTGTGATTTGTAGAAATTAACATAGTCCAATGTTATTGATTACTAGCATGTAAGCTAGGTGTTGTCCGGGCAAAAAGGAAGAACAAACATTAAGATTCTAACCCCTATATTGTATTATGTTATAGAATTTAATTTATATAACTACGAAGGTTATCTTATGTAGCCGATCTTACCCGTTCTCGCTGACCAAGAATTGTCCCCCCTCTGTCCAGGCTAATTAGAGAATTTTTAGATGGGTCTAAAACTGTGTTTAATTTTCCACAAAAATGCAAAAAAAAAAACTGCATTCAAAATAGTATGGTAGAAGCCAAGTTCTTTGTGGTAATCCTTAACCCTCTCTCTTTCTCTCCCTCTCCCCTCAGAGGGGAATTTCCAAAAATCCCTTCTTAGTGTGCATTCTTGTGGCATTCCATAACTACATGTCAAATTTCAACTTTCAACTAACTGTTTGGGCTCTGCATTTAATTATCATCATCATCTATAAAATATTCACAAATTACATCGGAATAAAGAATACCTTGTCCCGTAACCCACGGGAAAGAAGGTACCTATTTCTTCCCCTTTACTGTATTAGTTGCAGTTTACATGTAAATAGTTCCTCTTCTCCTCCCTTTTCCTCTTCTCAACAAGTTTTCAGATGAGCTTTATATACTAGTCTGTTTATTAAGCAAAGTTCAAATATACAATGTTTTTTAAATAAAATTATTCTTGTATATTAAAATTTCTTTTTTAATTTTTAATCCTGAAACATTTTTATAGGTATAATGATGTCTAAATAATAATTAGAAATATTTAATTTCTTTAAAGCAAACTTTATTATATTTTTAAGATTTATTTTTATATGCATTGTTTAAATTCAATACTTAGTTTGAAAAATATTTAAAAATAGTGATTAGCTTTCTTTGATTCATTATAATGATTTTGAACAATTTCTAGAAGTGATTATTTCGCGTAGAACTTAAATTGCAAGAATTAAAGTTTTGTGAAAGTCTTAAAGATATGCTAGATTAAAAACCTAATTTTAATTGCTGAGCTAAATGGCTTTCTTGTAAAGCTTAAATTTTTCGTTTGAAATTCTTGTTAAATATTTTTAATATATTTTCATAATATTAGTGTTAGTATTAAACGATAAATATTAAACAGTTTTTTTTTATTGAAATCCCAAATATTTTTCCACGAGAAGTAAAACTTATTATGTGTTTTCCAAATAGCCATAAAGTAAATTTGTGAAACTTTAAATTTTTTCCAAATTCAAAAGTTTCTTTTAGCCATTAAAAAAAAAAAATACATTTTAAATTTAAAACTATTATTTAATCTCATTTGGCATATATTGTGATAGTATTTTGAATATTCATTCATAAAACTGCTTTTCTGCAGTTTACATTTTCATTATTCTAGCACTTTCAAGTTTTTTCAACCCATTTTCAGAAACAGTCAACATAAAAAAATAAGTAAAAAAACACTCATGCTGATTTTTAAAAATTTCATTTTTAAAGAATATCAGTTGGAAAATAAAATATCTAGTTGTGGAACAATGCCATCTTCAGGAAAGAAAGTTCTGAGTTATTTTTTCTAAAATTCTTCCCTTCTGGCTAAAAGCCCTAACGTTCACAGTAATAGATGAATGTTGGAGAAAGGTTTTATAGAAAATTAAAATGATAGAGGAAGTTTTTTTATTATAAGATATGTGTCAAATGGATGTTATTTTCTGATTATTCTTAAAAATGTTTTCTCTGGGTTCTGCCAACCTAAAAGCATTAGGATGAAAAAAGATAACATTTGGAGAAGTTAGATGCAAGTTCCATACCAAATTATTCACTCAATTTTGAATATATTAAATTTTGATTTGCCGTTGATCTTGACTTGTAAGAAACATTCAATAAAGAAGTTCAATAAATGTTATATTTATTTGAAATTATTACTATGTTTAGTTATTTTGTCATTAAAATTAGATTTTTTTCCTTATCAAAACTGACTAAGTATTTTTTAAAATAGAAAATTTTCAGCATTTGCATGATGTTATCATATTTGCATCTTATGTTTATCTTGATTTATAAATATTTTTTTGAAAATTAGATAAGGGTATTAAACTGTCATCTAATCATACTTATTAATTACACTGCTAATGAAAAATAGAATTAAATGTCAAATTTTATTTTCATTTGACTAAAGGCCAAATCATACATACTTATATAAAAGACACTGAATATTGTAATTTGTCAAATAATCTGAACCATTATATATTACCACTAACATATTATACATTTCAGTGGTGTGCCATGACATCTGATGATAGGGAAGCTGTGTTTTTGTAAGAAGCTGACTTCCAGGGGCAATAAGTTAATTGTGCATCAGTGATGGTCTGTGGTCCATTTATATTTGTTCAATAAGCTAGTAAAAACCATACTTCTCTAAATGTATTTTTAATATCACAATTACATTCTGAACTGCTAGTCATGATATAAGGGTTAAAATTAAAAATAAAATTATAAAAACTTGGTGAAATAAAATGTGTGGTGGATGTCCATACTTGGTACAAAATATTCTTCAATTGTATGAATATACTTTTAAAGAAAATTATAATTAAATATAGCTTTATAAAGAAACTTACATAAAAATAACATAACCTAATATTCTTTACTTTTTAAATCTTAAAACAATCCACTTAGTCAAATAGCTCTCTGAGTGGCTAATGGATAGAATCGGAGACGGTCCTGGTTAGGTGCATGCATGTGGGCTGGCAAATCCCGAAGGTGCCGATACTGGTCAATGTCAAATGTATCTTTTGTCGCATCACTAGTATACCTCAAAGGACGTGACAGGGTTGTTGTAAATTTTAAACATTTCTCACCATAGCTATAAAAATCTAACTATGTTAAACTTAATAGATTGTTCGTCATTTGTTTTCTAACTAATTCGTTTTAGGACCAGGTGTCCACGGAAATTTACAACTTTTCAGTCACCATCATTGAACTAGAAAAGTTTGTCTTTATTACATCAAATATTACAAAGAAAGCAGCCCTCCCCTGTACTTGGCTACAGAGTGGTCCGGTTAAGCTTTTAAGTAAAATTCTGGCTTTTTCAGTAGGGTGTTATGTCCCTAATTCCCTAATCTCTTAATTACTTGACTACTACTTAAGTAGATATAATTTGAAAATGATTATTTTGTACTTGAATATTTGTAATCTCAGGAAAGAAGTGGAAAGACAATTTTTATGACAACGAAAATAAATTCTAGAGTTTTTTTTTGTGCCTTGTGCATCTCATTCATTACATTTAGTTGTAAATGATGCTGCCAAAGTAATAGTTAATTTTTTAACATTGTACAAGAATTGTATTTTTTCTGCATCCTCTTATAGATGGGACATACCTATCACTAGTTTAACATAGAAATCTGTAAGTAATACAAGATGGGGGAACAGAATAAAACAAATCCATTAAAATATTTGATATATTTAAACTGTTAACTATAGAGAACTATCATAAAAACATACCAGTAAACTCCCATTGGTTGGATTAAGTTATAAATCTACTCAATTCACATAATGGGGTGAGGGCAGCCAAATATCTACCACACAGGTGGCTAACAGCCCAGAAGATAGAATCGTTGGATGCATTATACGATATTTCGGTGTGTAGCATCCACCAGCTAAACTGCGTGAGGTTGGTGCTCTGTGAAGCACATGCACAACTGCATATAATCTGCCTGCTTTACACCATTCAAATATTTTTGTCGTGAAAGCTATCCCGTATTTGACAATACAGCACTTCCATTCCACTACTTATATTCAAATATACAATAGCAATCTTATCATTTTTTTCATATGTAGTATAGAAATTTGTAATAAGATACATAATGTTGTAATAATAAAATATAGCCTATAAATTTTAATTAATTCAAAGTACATTAAAATATGAAAATAATTGCACAATATGTATTTATTTTAGAAAATACAAAGGAAACAGTGCTTTCACCACTTCCAAGGACGGCACGCCACTGATTACATTTTCACTAATTTAAAATATTTTTGTTGAAATTATCTTTCAGAAATAATTTTGTAAGATTTGACTACTTAGAAATTTTGATTTTTAATCTGTTTTTTTTTTTCTGTTTGAAGATGCAAACAGATTTCGTAATTTGTTTTCTATACCCTAAAAATTTAGATTGACGCACAGTAAATTCATTATTGAATGATTTATCTGATTTACTGTTGGAGATGAATTGACTTACAAAATTATTTAAGAGAGATGTAAATTTATATACAGATCAACAATATGATTTTATATTTATGTAAACATTTTTGTCTTAGTTTATACATGCATCCTCTTGAATTTGATGATATATATTTTGCTGTATCATAAGATAATTAACTTTGTGTAGAAAAATTAAAGTATTTCCATTGTTTGAGTCCTGTTGCTAAAAGATAAGTAATAAAAAATCATATAACTAAATATTATTACATATACAAACTGTGTCTAGTAATAAATATATCATTCAGTTGTCATTTCTATTCATATCAGTAAAAAATGATATCATCAGAGATCATAGATCTAACATTTGAAAGTATAAATTTTTAAATCAAGATCATCTATGAAATTTTCAAATTTATGAATTAATAACTTTTATATTGACTAGTTAGGGCTTTAACTGAAACTACAAATTGAATGTTTTTATGCCTTTATCTATAAAATGCAAATACTTAGAAGTATCAAATAATTTTATAATTTATTTATCAAAAATGTTTAAATAAATTAGTGCTGGAACAGGCTAGAACTCTAAATTTTACAGTTATTTATTAAATTTTAATAGTTCACATAGAGCTGTCGGTATACAAACATGATATTCATAATGAATTACAAAATCAATACATAGAAAGTGTTCTTTGAATATTAAGAATTATAGTGTAAAAAAAATTTCAATAAAAATATGTTCATTTTAATCAAAGTATTATATATTGGGTTCTTGTGATATTAAGTTAAGCTATTCCAATTTTTGTCATTATGAACTATGTTTTTTTGTTAATATAAATTGAAGTGGGAAAGAGAACTTCTAAATTGTCATATTCTTTTCCAAAGACACTTCATTATTCTGTACTTGTTTATAAACAAATTATTTTCAAGAATTATTGCAGCATTGACTACAAATATTAAGTATCTATATTTAGTTTTTGATTTTTGTAATTATATGGCCATAAACTGGTATCACTATCACTATTTAAAAAACTGGTCAATCTATATATCATGTGACTGATCATTTACTATTTTTCCTGTTTTGTAGAAACAATATGCAATATTTCTAAGTTTTAAACTAATAATGCAAAAAGTGTTGGAATTTTATTAATTTACCACTTTATTTAATCAATATTAAATAAAGTGGTAAATTAATAAAATTACTAATGTAAAACTATTAAAATTTAATAAATAACTGTAAAATTTAGAGTTCTAGCCTGTTCCAGCACCTAAAGTTTAACTTAAAAATTTTTGTTTTGCAGATAAAAATAAAATGAATATAGCTGATAATTTGGGTGTGTCACCTGCCGATATACCACCAGAATCATTAATAAAGGTTAATGTAAAGGTTCAGTGTCATGTATCAAGTAATGAAACAGTCTGTATTACAGGAAATATAAAAGAATTAGGTAAATGGAAAGTAAAAAATTGTATTACTATGATAGAAGACCCTGAACAGAGGTGTGTATTTAAAATATAATTTTTTCATTAAATCATTTTTTACATTTCTGCTTGTCTTTACAAAAAGTATTAACTTTTTATTATTTTCAGTTTACAGGAATTCTGAGATTTTACAATTTTAAAATATTAGTGTAAATCAAAAATTTATTCAAAATATTTTCTTTATGCTGTGCAAACTAAATTTAATTATAAAAAGATTTTTAAGAAACTTGTACATATTTTTTCATTTGTTTAATCACTGTTTGTTTTAAAACTTAAATTTAACCAATTAGGAATTTTAAGTTTTGTTTTTTTAAACCTATATACTGTTTCTGCACTTCTTACAATTTCTTATAAAGGAAATTACAATACATATCAAATTCTAATATGTATAAAAAGATAATTAAAAAGTTAAAAATATATAGTTATGCTTTTGAAAGTTAATTTTTGAGATAAAACTTATTTATTTTGAGAGATTCAAAATAAAAATTTTGAACTTCTGAATTATTTACTACTAGCAGGTTGATCAGGTAAAAAGTAACGATAGCGAAGATTATTAGATTATAGCCAATCTTACCCGTTTTCACTGGGTGCAAGAATTAGGTTCCCACCTCTTCTGAGACTAATTAGTTTTTAGATGGGTATAAAAATGTTTGATTTTCCACAAAAAATGCTTCTACTGTACTGTTTTAGATGCAGGAGTTTAAGGTAATCCTTAACCCTCTCCCCCGTGGAGGAGAATTTCCAAAAATCCTTCTTAGTGTGCATTCACATGGCATACCCTGACTGTGTGTACCAAATTTTGACTTTAAACTCCTAACTATTTGGGCTCTGCACTTGTAATATTATTAACTCATAAAATGGAGAGCACTTAATCACTACAGAAAGATTAAATTCTAGTGTTTGGATGCCAAAAAACAACACATGCTATGCAAAACTTTATAGTAAAACAGTATTTTGATAATCTAAGTTTTGCATAGCATGTGTTGTTTTTGGCATCCAAACACTAGAATTTAATCTTTCTGTAGTGATTAAGTGCTCCATTTTTTTAAAAAATTTATTTTAATGGTTATAAAATTATTATATTGGATTTCTTCTTGTCTATTTTTTATTAATTGTACTAAATCCTAATTTTCCAAAATAGATTTATTAAGTCTGAAACAGGAGAACAATTGCCAACAAAATTCCATTTACTTTTCTTTATGCTTCAAGAGAGCAATTGCCACCTAAATTTCCATTTCTTTATTTTTTTGGAGAATAAAGAAAAATAAATGGAATTTTGCTGGTGATTTTTGTGTCTCAGACAATATATCTGTTTTGGAAAATCTAAGATTTATGACAGTTTATAAAATTATACTTGTATATTTTTTTATATTTCCATAATTAAAATATTAATTAATAAAAATCATTTTTTAATTAATAAAACAAAAATTTTTAATTATATAGTGGAACATGGAATGCAACAATTCTTGTAGCTCCTCATCGTAAAGTATATTTCCGATATTTTGTGGCTATTATTTTAAAATCTGATGATGGAAGGAAAATCTTCATTAGGAACTGGGAATCTCATTTACATCCTCGGAAATTAAATATTGAAAATAATGAACTTCATATATTTGGAATGCATAATGGTAATAATTTACTATATTAAATAAGCACCAATAATTCATTTTATTGATTAACTTAGTTAGATTTATGAGTTAACTTTTTTCAATTTTATATTAATATTTAATACTATAATCGTTTTAAAATTTGAATTGTTGTTTTTGCTTTCATGTATACTTTAATTATATAAAATCTTTATACTATTTCTAAACTTGTGGATGAAGCAAACTTTTACTTTGATGCCCAAGTTATCATTTTGGAAGATTAAAACCAAATAATTGGTGAATATTTTATGTATGAAATGTAGTGAATGATTGGACAAAGTTAACTTGTGGAACTGTTGTCATTGCTGCTTACATTCTCAAGTTATTTCTTCTATGCTTCTGAAAATGTCCAAATTGATAATTAGTTTTGAATTAGTATAAATGTTTAAACTCACTCTTATAAGACTGCTCAACTTTTACATTGAAAATTTGTTGTACTATTTTCTATCTTTAGTAATTATTTAATAAAATTACATATTATGTATTTAATAATTTAACATTTAAGATGACAAACTTACTCTGACACAGTTAAGCCCAATAAAGTTTTGTATAAAAACAAAAAATTTAACATTCTTATGTTCTAAATCAGCACAGCTTTTCATTATTAGTTATGCCATCTAAATATTAAAAGTCAAAGTACTCAATGTGAAAAAGTGTATTTTTTATACTGTTTCAAACAGTCTTTACTAATATTTAAATTTATAAAAAGTTAATAAAAATATTCTATTGTTAATTACAAATTGTTTAATCATACTATAAAACACTAAACAGTTCTGAAGTACGGCAAACATTTTTGCCAAGTTCAAGTAAAAGTAAACCCTTAATCCCATTTTTGAATTAATACCTATATCAAAACTGTACCATTTTGACATTTTTGTTATGGCTACTGAAATTTGATTTTATTTTGTCACATTTGTGTTTATCAAGATATTTAATATTTCTTTTGATCATTTTTGTCTTGAATTAAATAGTCAGTCTGAATATAATCAAACAAATTTATCAAACTATGTGCAATCATATTTCTTATAAATCTGCTTTAAAGTAATGAATTCCATTTTAAAGTGTTATTAAATTCTTTAGTTTGCATGTAATTTAAATGATTTCATATAACAAAATATGCATTTATTTATAATTTATGTATAATTGTTTAAAAGTTAAAACCTTTTTTCAGATGGAAATATAAAGATTGATCAAGGATGGCTAACAGAGCAAACTGTATTACAATTTCAATTATATAATAAGCCAATTACTATATGGGAAAACCAATATAGGAGAAAGCCAATATTTTTTCATTTGAGTGCATTAGATAAGTCCACAAGTAGTATCAATTTTGTAAGTTTTTATTTATTTAAATTATAATACATCATAATTATAAATGCAAAAAAATGGAGATGACATTTAGTGGGCAGTAATGTAATATTTTAAATTATATAATTATGACATTACTGCCCATGACATATTGACATATTATGACATTACTGCCAATATATATTGGCAGTAATGTCATAATATGTCAATATGTCATGGGCAGTAATGTCATAATTATATAATTTAAAATATTACATTACTGCCCACATAATGTCCCACTGTTGTCCATCCATCTTTCCTTAATCTCGAGAATAGAGATAGATGAAAAACGAGACAGATATGGAAANCTATAATTATTGGTTTGTTTGAAATGAATCTTTAGTTTGTAGTTTAAAATTTGCCTTTCAACTTTTAATTTTTTTAAACATTTCATTACATATACTTGCATTTTGAGAGAATTATTCAAAAACCTTTATCATAATTGCTGATAAGATAATTGCTTTGAATTTCTATTAACTGTGATTTGTAGAAATTAACATAGTCCAATGTTATTGATTACTAGCATGTAAGCTAGGTGTTGTCCGGGCAAAAAGGAAGAACAAACATTAAGATTCTAACCCCTATATTGTATTATGTTATAGAATTTAATTTATATAACTACGAAGGTTATCTTATGTAGCCGATCTTACCCGTTCTCGCTGACCAAGAATTGTCCCCCCTCTGTCCAGGCTAATTAGAGAATTTTTAGATGGGTCTAAAACTGTGTTTAATTTTCCACAAAAATGCAAAAAAAAAAACTGCATTCAAAATAGTATGGTAGAAGCCAAGTTCTTTGTGGTAATCCTTAACCCTCTCTCTTTCTCTCCCTCTCCCCTCAGAGGGGAATTTCCAAAAATCCCTTCTTAGTGTGCATTCTTGTGGCATTCCATAACTACATGTCAAATTTCAACTTTCAACTAACTGTTTGGGCTCTGCATTTAATTATCATCATCATCTATAAAATATTCACAAATTACATCGGAATAAAGAATACCTTGTCCCGTAACCCACGGGAAAGAAGGTACCTATTTCTTCCCCTTTACTGTATTAGTTGCAGTTTACATGTAAATAGTTCCTCTTCTCCTCCCTTTTCCTCTTCTCAACAAGTTTTCAGATGAGCTTTATATACTAGTCTGTTTATTAAGCAAAGTTCAAATATACAATGTTTTTTAAATAAAATTATTCTTGTATATTAAAATTTCTTTTTTAATTTTTAATCCTGAAACATTTTTATAGGTATAATGATGTCTAAATAATAATTAGAAATATTTAATTTCTTTAAAGCAAACTTTATTATATTTTTAAGATTTATTTTTATATGCATTGTTTAAATTCAATACTTAGTTTGAAAAATATTTAAAAATAGTGATTAGCTTTCTTTGATTCATTATAATGATTTTGAACAATTTCTAGAAGTGATTATTTCGCGTAGAACTTAAATTGCAAGAATTAAAGTTTTGTGAAAGTCTTAAAGATATGCTAGATTAAAAACCTAATTTTAATTGCTGAGCTAAATGGCTTTCTTGTAAAGCTTAAATTTTTCGTTTGAAATTCTTGTTAAATATTTTTAATATATTTTCATAATATTAGTGTTAGTATTAAACGATAAATATTAAACAGTTTTTTTTTATTGAAATCCCAAATATTTTTCCACGAGAAGTAAAACTTATTATGTGTTTTCCAAATAGCCATAAAGTAAATTTGTGAAACTTTAAATTTTTTCCAAATTCAAAAGTTTCTTTTAGCCATTAAAAAAAAAAAATACATTTTAAATTTAAAACTATTATTTAATCTCATTTGGCATATATTGTGATAGTATTTTGAATATTCATTCATAAAACTGCTTTTCTGCAGTTTACATTTTCATTATTCTAGCACTTTCAAGTTTTTTCAACCCATTTTCAGAAACAGTCAACATAAAAAAATAAGTAAAAAAACACTCATGCTGATTTTTAAAAATTTCATTTTTAAAGAATATCAGTTGGAAAATAAAATATCTAGTTGTGGAACAATGCCATCTTCAGGAAAGAAAGTTCTGAGTTATTTTTTCTAAAATTCTTCCCTTCTGGCTAAAAGCCCTAACGTTCACAGTAATAGATGAATGTTGGAGAAAGGTTTTATAGAAAATTAAAATGATAGAGGAAGTTTTTTTATTATAAGATATGTGTCAAATGGATGTTATTTTCTGATTATTCTTAAAAATGTTTTCTCTGGGTTCTGCCAACCTAAAAGCATTAGGATGAAAAAAGATAACATTTGGAGAAGTTAGATGCAAGTTCCATACCAAATTATTCACTCAATTTTGAATATATTAAATTTTGATTTGCCGTTGATCTTGACTTGTAAGAAACATTCAATAAAGAAGTTCAATAAATGTTATATTTATTTGAAATTATTACTATGTTTAGTTATTTTGTCATTAAAATTAGATTTTTTTCCTTATCAAAACTGACTAAGTATTTTTTAAAATAGAAAATTTTCAGCATTTGCATGATGTTATCATATTTGCATCTTATGTTTATCTTGATTTATAAATATTTTTTTGAAAATTAGATAAGGGTATTAAACTGTCATCTAATCATACTTATTAATTACACTGCTAATGAAAAATAGAATTAAATGTCAAATTTTATTTTCATTTGACTAAAGGCCAAATCATACATACTTATATAAAAGACACTGAATATTGTAATTTGTCAAATAATCTGAACCATTATATATTACCACTAACATATTATACATTTCAGTGGTGTGCCATGACATCTGATGATAGGGAAGCTGTGTTTTTGTAAGAAGCTGACTTCCAGGGGCAATAAGTTAATTGTGCATCAGTGATGGTCTGTGGTCCATTTATATTTGTTCAATAAGCTAGTAAAAACCATACTTCTCTAAATGTATTTTTAATATCACAATTACATTCTGAACTGCTAGTCATGATATAAGGGTTAAAATTAAAAATAAAATTATAAAAACTTGGTGAAATAAAATGTGTGGTGGATGTCCATACTTGGTACAAAATATTCTTCAATTGTATGAATATACTTTTAAAGAAAATTATAATTAAATATAGCTTTATAAAGAAACTTACATAAAAATAACATAACCTAATATTCTTTACTTTTTAAATCTTAAAACAATCCACTTAGTCAAATAGCTCTCTGAGTGGCTAATGGATAGAATCGGAGACGGTCCTGGTTAGGTGCATGCATGTGGGCTGGCAAATCCCGAAGGTGCCGATACTGGTCAATGTCAAATGTATCTTTTGTCGCATCACTAGTATACCTCAAAGGACGTGACAGGGTTGTTGTAAATTTTAAACATTTCTCACCATAGCTATAAAAATCTAACTATGTTAAACTTAATAGATTGTTCGTCATTTGTTTTCTAACTAATTCGTTTTAGGACCAGGTGTCCACGGAAATTTACAACTTTTCAGTCACCATCATTGAACTAGAAAAGTTTGTCTTTATTACATCAAATATTACAAAGAAAGCAGCCCTCCCCTGTACTTGGCTACAGAGTGGTCCGGTTAAGCTTTTAAGTAAAATTCTGGCTTTTTCAGTAGGGTGTTATGTCCCTAATTCCCTAATCTCTTAATTACTTGACTACTACTTAAGTAGATATAATTTGAAAATGATTATTTTGTACTTGAATATTTGTAATCTCAGGAAAGAAGTGGAAAGACAATTTTTATGACAACGAAAATAAATTCTAGAGTTTTTTTTTGTGCCTTGTGCATCTCATTCATTACATTTAGTTGTAAATGATGCTGCCAAAGTAATAGTTAATTTTTTAACATTGTACAAGAATTGTATTTTTTCTGCATCCTCTTATAGATGGGACATACCTATCACTAGTTTAACATAGAAATCTGTAAGTAATACAAGATGGGGGAACAGAATAAAACAAATCCATTAAAATATTTGATATATTTAAACTGTTAACTATAGAGAACTATCATAAAAACATACCAGTAAACTCCCATTGGTTGGATTAAGTTATAAATCTACTCAATTCACATAATGGGGTGAGGGCAGCCAAATATCTACCACACAGGTGGCTAACAGCCCAGAAGATAGAATCGTTGGATGCATTATACGATATTTCGGTGTGTAGCATCCACCAGCTAAACTGCGTGAGGTTGGTGCTCTGTGAAGCACATGCACAACTGCATATAATCTGCCTGCTTTACACCATTCAAATATTTTTGTCGTGAAAGCTATCCCGTATTTGACAATACAGCACTTCCATTCCACTACTTATATTCAAATATACAATAGCAATCTTATCATTTTTTTCATATGTAGTATAGAAATTTGTAATAAGATACATAATGTTGTAATAATAAAATATAGCCTATAAATTTTAATTAATTCAAAGTACATTAAAATATGAAAATAATTGCACAATATGTATTTATTTTAGAAAATACAAAGGAAACAGTGCTTTCACCACTTCCAAGGACGGCACGCCACTGATTACATTTTCACTAATTTAAAATATTTTTGTTGAAATTATCTTTCAGAAATAATTTTGTAAGATTTGACTACTTAGAAATTTTGATTTTTAATCTGTTTTTTTTTTTCTGTTTGAAGATGCAAACAGATTTCGTAATTTGTTTTCTATACCCTAAAAATTTAGATTGACGCACAGTAAATTCATTATTGAATGATTTATCTGATTTACTGTTGGAGATGAATTGACTTACAAAATTATTTAAGAGAGATGTAAATTTATATACAGATCAACAATATGATTTTATATTTATGTAAACATTTTTGTCTTAGTTTATACATGCATCCTCTTGAATTTGATGATATATATTTTGCTGTATCATAAGATAATTAACTTTGTGTAGAAAAATTAAAGTATTTCCATTGTTTGAGTCCTGTTGCTAAAAGATAAGTAATAAAAAATCATATAACTAAATATTATTACATATACAAACTGTGTCTAGTAATAAATATATCATTCAGTTGTCATTTCTATTCATATCAGTAAAAAATGATATCATCAGAGATCATAGATCTAACATTTGAAAGTATAAATTTTTAAATCAAGATCATCTATGAAATTTTCAAATTTATGAATTAATAACTTTTATATTGACTAGTTAGGGCTTTAACTGAAACTACAAATTGAATGTTTTTATGCCTTTATCTATAAAATGCAAATACTTAGAAGTATCAAATAATTTTATAATTTATTTATCAAAAATGTTTAAATAAATTAGTGCTGGAACAGGCTAGAACTCTAAATTTTACAGTTATTTATTAAATTTTAATAGTTCACATAGAGCTGTCGGTATACAAACATGATATTCATAATGAATTACAAAATCAATACATAGAAAGTGTTCTTTGAATATTAAGAATTATAGTGTAAAAAAAAATTTCAATAAAAATATGTTCATTTTAATCAAAGTATTATATATTGGGTTCTTGTGATATTAAGTTAAGCTATTCCAATTTTTGTCATTATGAACTATGTTTTTTTGTTAATATAAATTGAAGTGGGAAAGAGAACTTCTAAATTGTCATATTCTTTTCCAAAGACACTTCATTATTCTGTACTTGTTTATAAACAAATTATTTTCAAGAATTATTGCAGCATTGACTACAAATATTAAGTATCTATATTTAGTTTTTGATTTTTGTAATTATATGGCCATAAACTGGTATCACTATCACTATTTAAAAAACTGGTCAATCTATATATCATGTGACTGATCATTTACTATTTTTCCTGTTTTGTAGAAACAATATGCAATATTTCTAAGTTTTAAACTAATAATTCAAAAAGTGTTGGAATTTTATTAATTTACCACTTTATTTAATCAATATTAAATAAAGTGGTAAATTAATAAAATTACTAATGTAAAACTATTAAAATTTAATAAATAACTGTAAAATTTAGAGTTCTAGCCTGTTCCAGCACCTAAAGTTTAACTTAAAAATTTTTGTTTTGCAGATAAAAATAAAATGAATATAGCTGATAATTTGGGTGTGTCACCTGCCGATATACCACCAGAATCATTAATAAAGGTTAATGTAAAGGTTCAGTGTCATGTATCAAGTAATGAAACAGTCTGTATTACAGGAAATATAAAAGAATTAGGTAAATGGAAAGTAAAAAATTGTATTACTATGATAGAAGACCCTGAACAGAGGTGTGTATTTAAAATATAATTTTTTCATTAAATCATTTTTTACATTTCTGCTTGTCTTTACAAAAAGTATTAACTTTTTATTATTTTCAGTTTACAGGAATTCTGAGATTTTACAATTTTAAAATATTAGTGTAAATCAAAAATTTATTCAAAATATTTTCTTTATGCTGTGCAAACTAAATTTAATTATAAAAAGATTTTTAAGAAACTTGTACATATTTTTTCATTTGTTTAATCACTGTTTGTTTTAAAACTTAAATTTAACCAATTAGGAATTTTAAGTTTTGTTTTTTTAAACCTATATACTGTTTCTGCACTTCTTACAATTTCTTATAAAGGAAATTACAATACATATCAAATTCTAATATGTATAAAAAGATAATTAAAAAGTTAAAAATATATAGTTATGTTTTGAGATAAAACTTATTTATTTTGAGAGATTCAAAATAAAAATTTTGAACTTCTGAATTATTTACTACTAGCAGGTTGATCAGGTAAAAAGTAACGATAGCGAAGATTATTAGATTATAGCCAATCTTACCCGTTTTCACTGGGTGCAAGAATTAGGTTCCCACCTCTTCTGAGACTAATTAGTTTTTAGATGGGTATAAAAATGTTTGATTTTCCACAAAAAATGCTTCTACTGTACTGTTTTAGATGCAGGAGTTTAAGGTAATCCTTAACCCTCTCCCCCGCGGAGGAGAATTTCCAAAAATCCTTCTTAGTGTGCATTCACATGGCATACCCTGACTGTGTGTACCAAATTTTGACTTTAAACTCCTAACTATTTGGGCTCTGCACTTGTAATATTATTAACTCATAAAATGGAGAGCACTTAATCACTACAGAAAGATTAAATTCTAGTGTTTGGATGCCAAAAAACAACACATGCTATGCAAAACTTTATAGTAAAACAGTATTTTGATAATCTAAGTTTTCCATAGCATGTGTTGTTTTTGGCATCCAAACACTAGAATTTAATCTTTCTGTAGTGATTAAGTGCTCCATTTTTTTAAAAAATTTATTTTAATGGTTATAAAATTATTATATTGGATTTCTTCTTGTCTATTTTTTATTAATTGTACTAAATCCTAATTTTCCAAAATAGATTTATTAAGTCTGAAACAGGAGAACAATTGCCAACAAAATTCCATTTACTTTTCTTTATGCTTCAAGAGAGCAATTGCCACCTAAATTTCCATTTCTTTATTTTTTTGGAGAATAAAGAAAAATAAATGGAATTTTGCTGGTGATTTTTGTGTCTCAGACAATATATCTGTTTTGGAAAATCTAAGATTTATGACAGTTTATAAAATTATACTTGTATATTTTTTTATATTTCCATAATTAAAATATTAATTAATAAAAATCATTTTTTAATTAATAAAACAAAAATTTTTAATTATATAGTGGAACATGGAATGCAACAATTCTTGTAGCTCCTCATCGTAAAGTATATTTCCGATATTTTGTGGCTATTATTTTAAAATCTGATGATGGAAGGAAAATCTTCATTAGGAACTGGGAATCTCATTTACATCCTCGGAAATTAAATATTGAAAATAATGAACTTCATATATTTGGAATGCATAATGGTAATAATTTACTATATTAAATAAGCACCAATAATTCATTTTATTGATTAACTTAGTTAGATTTATGAGTTAACTTTTTTCAATTTTATATTAATATTTAATACTATAATCGTTTTAAAATTTGAATTGTTGTTTTTGCTTTCATGTATACTTTAATTATATAAAATCTTTATACTATTTCTAAACTTGTGGATGAAGCAAACTTTTACTTTGATGCCCAAGTTATCATTTTGGAAGATTAAAACCAAATAATTGGTGAATATTTTATGTATGAAATGTAGTGAATGATTGGACAAAGTTAACTTGTGGAACTGTTGTCATTGCTGCTTACATTCTCAAGTTATTTCTTCTATGCTTCTGAAAATGTCCAAATTGATAATTAGTTTTGAATTAGTATAAATGTTTAAACTCACTCTTATAAGACTGCTCAACTTTTACATTGAAAATTTGTTGTACTATTTTCTATCTTTAGTAATTATTTAATAAAATTACATATTATGTATTTAATAATTTAACATTTAAGATGACAAACTTACTCTGACACAGTTAAGCCCAATAAAGTTTTGTATAAAAACAAAAAATTTAACATTCTTATGTTCTAAATCAGCACAGCTTTTCATTATTAGTTATGCCATCTAAATATTAAAAGTCAAAGTACTCAATGTGAAAAAGTGTATTTTTTATACTGTTTCAAACAGTCTTTACTAATATTTAAATTTATAAAAAGTTAATAAAAATATTCTATTGTTAATTACAAATTGTTTAATCATACTATAAAACACTAAACAGTTCTGAAGTACGGCAAACATTTTTGCCAAGTTCAAGTAAAAGTAAACCCTTAATCCCATTTTTGAATTAATACCTATATCAAAACTGTACCATTTTGACATTTTTGTTATGGCTACTGAAATTTGATTTTATTTTGTCACATTTGTGTTTATCAAGATATTTAATATTTCTTTTGATCATTTTTGTCTTGAATTAAATAGTCAGTCTGAATATAATCAAACAAATTTATCAAACTATGTGCAATCATATTTCTTATAAATCTGCTTTAAAGTAATGAATTCCATTTTAAAGTGTTATTAAATTCTTTAGTTTGCATGTAATTTAAATGATTTCATATAACAAAATATGCATTTATTTATAATTTATGTATAATTGTTTAAAAGTTAAAACCTTTTTTCAGATGGAAATATAAAGATTGATCAAGGATGGCTAACAGAGCAAACTGTATTACAATTTCAATTATATAATAAGCCAATTACTATATGGGAAAACCAATATAGGAGAAAGCCAATATTTTTTCATTTGAGTGCATTAGATAAGTCCACAAGTAGTATCAATTTTGTAAGTTTTTATTTATTTAAATTATAATACATCATAATTATAAATGCAAAAAAATGGAGATGACATTTAGTGGGCAGTAATGTAATATTTTAAATTATATAATTATGACATTACTGCCCATGACATATTGACATATTATGACATTACTGCCAATATATATTGGCAGTAATGTCATAATATGTCAATATGTCATGGGCAGTAATGTCATAATTATATAANGTTTTCTCATTGATATTAAGTATACAATGATGATGATGACAAACTGATTTTTGATATTTAATTAAAACTATATTATTTTTGTAAATTGAGCTATTTACTTCAAGTTACACATAAAAGGAGAACTTTTACTTTCACTTAGATTATATATATATATACAGTGGAACCTCGGTATACGACCTTAATTCGTTCCTGGTGTTCGGACTTACACCGAATAGGACGTATACCGAACCAACCTTTTCCATAAGAAGTAATGTAAAAATGATTAATCCGTTCTCATGTAAAAAAAAACTGGCTGGCTTTAAACACCTCGCTTTCCTCGCTAGTTCCTGCTTGATTTTTCCTGAGATCAGTATGTATCTTTCTAGCTTTCTCGCAAATTTCTTCCCATACGCTGTCGCCAGCACACTGTTTTTCAGTTATCCAAAGCAAAAGCAATTTATCGACATGATCTAATGTCTTTGATCTCTGTTTAGAAATTGATTTAACCCCTTTCGCAACGTTAGCGGATTTAATAATGTCTTTATTTTTCGCAATTGTCGATATCGTCGTTCTCGGAATACGGTATGCAACAGTTAAATCTCGAACACGCGTGCCACCTTCATATTTCTCAACAATCTCTTTTTTCGGTTCCATTGTGATTCTATTCATTTTCTTTATTTTTCTGTTGCCTTTTTGCAATTCATGATTAATAAAAATAATAAAATTTTACTTACAAATTAAAATCAGAAGAAATTTAACAAAGTTATAAACCGTGACACCGCGAACGTCTAGTCTGGTGTAGTACACCGATAGCGCTACTTGTTCATATATGGCGCGTATAATTGAATTAAGTCGTATACCGAACAAAAGTCGTATACCGAGCAAAATTTGTTTCGTCTAAACAGGACGTATTCCGAATTGGACATATTCTAAAGAAGACGTATACCGAGGTTTCACTGTATATATATAATAGATTTATATTTAGAATACTTCTAACAATGTATTTAAATTTTAACATTCATGTAAGAATTCTTCTTTTAATCTTGCGGATGGCTAGTAAGTCAGCCACGAATGTTAAATAAAAAAAATCTGTTGCTGAAACAGGCTAGAAGTCTAAATTTATAAATTAGTATTAATTTTAAATAAGATTTATTTTAGAAAATATTTGAAATTAGCAAAAATGGATGATTGCACCTTTGAAAACCAATCTAAAAATTTAAATAAAAAGTAAACAGCCAGATTTTTGTCAGGCTAATTAAGTAATTTGGCTAGAGTTAATTAACAGGAGATTAACTGTGTACCTTTAGCCAAATAACTTAGGTTGATAAAGAAGCTGGCTGTTCATTTTATATTTAAATTATTGGATTGGTTGCATATGTTGCTATAAATTAAAAAGTTATTGTGTTTTTTTCATTATTATTATTATAGATTTCAAAATATTTAATTTAAAGTAACCAAAAAATTAGCATTTTGAGTTTAATTGAAATATCAAATTTAATGATTCAGCAATTATTGGATTAGAATTGCTTTTACTTATTAAATGATTTAATGAACTAAATCATTGCAGATTATAAATTCTGACAAATTATTAAATATTACCGAACTAAATAATATCAAATTTCATTTTAAAACAGCATGTTTAAATGTGCATAGACACTTAGTAATCTGCATTATCATTACAGACACTTTGTCTATGACACTTATTAATCTGCATTATCATTATCAGACACTTTGTCAAAATCTGAATATGCACAGACATCTAAATTTAAAATTGTTCTCAGGACATTTATCAAATTCTTTGATCTGTGGGAAATCCCTAAGTTTATACTTTAAATTTGGTATTGTTTATTGCAGGGGTCACCAAACTTTTTTTCACAATGGGCCAGATAACTGAGAATGACGAGCACGGGTCGCATAACCATTTTGTTCAATACAGCACACTGAATATGCAAAGTAAAGACAATCAACATTATATTTATTTACCAATACATAAACACAATCACTGGGTCAAACTTGTAATTGCTTTTGTTAGAAACTTCATTGCAAGTACTTACACAAAAAGCACTCTAATATCCAAAGTCTCAAAGCCACTGAATTTTTTATTTTGCTGATTTTCCTAAAATTTATTGTCAGATGCAAAAGTCAGATTAGACCACTTCTGGCATTTATATTTACACTTACTTTAATTATTTATACATATTAAGTTTATCTACAAACTATGGTATTTCTATATAAATAATTGTATTTTACCTCATTTCTGGCAGTGTAAGTGTCGGATGAACTGACCTCACAGGCCATAGTTTGGTGACCCCTGGTTTCTTGCATCAGTTTATTTGAATATCTTGAAGATCAAATTTTAGAATATATTCATTTTGAAAGTAGTATATTCTGAATAAAATATAATCTGACTTTATCAAGTGGTGGTGACTATTTTGTACATATTCAAGAAGTTGACTGTTTTTCTGAAGTAAATCAAAAAACTCACTATTTGCACTGTGTGAACATTTGTGTAAGCTATAAAAAGCATGTACAGATAGACTTGAATGTTATCTTAGTCATCCCAATTAAACAATAAATATTGAAATGCTTAGTCTTTAAAAAGTATCAGATGCTCAAAATAAAAATTAATATGCTGTAGTTATTCTAATAAACAGCATAGCTGCGAAAAGTCTGTTCTCTCTAATAGTAAGCATTCTTTCTGTTGGAGATACTTTAAGCCTACAAAATTGCAGTTTATTTGGCATTGTCACTCATACCCTATGTTAGTACGGTGTTATGCTATTGCTCAAATAATGAGCAATTATTTATTGTCACATCGTCACAGTGCCATTCTATAATTTTTAATTTATTTAATTTAAAATATATTCTCCCGCCTCAAATAGTAGTGGCTTGTCTCTGTACAGTATACTTTCTCTTTAACAATAGTCATGCCAGTCTTCTATCTAACATCTTTCAGGAAAATTTTTGAATTGAAATAGTGTGACTTCTGGTTTGCATCAGAAGTTCATATATAATTAATTGGGACCTTCTGCCCTTAAGCTTTCCATATCTGTCTCGTTTTTCATCTATCTCTATTCTCGAGATTAAGGAAAGATGGATGGACAACAGTGGGAATTTATAGGTCTACAATTTCTTTATATTGTAGCCCAATAATAATAATTAAGTAAAAAACTTGGTCTTATTCTGTTAATATTCTCATCCAATTTCCAAAGAATGGAAATAAGTCAGCTACTAATAGAAAGTGCTCACTAATAAACAATACAGTTGAGCAGAAAAAAGTTATGAAGCATGCTATTCATTAAAATACAATACATAGCTTTTCTATCTCCTGATTTAGAAATGTTTCATTTCAAGTGTTACATTTTTTAATTATACTTTAGCAGATTCTCATAAATTATCTGTTTTGTTTAATTTATTATCTTAAATATTTCCTATTGAATTGGATATGTGGATATCCACATATGCAGTTCAAAAAGTTTTGTAGTGCTTTAAAATTAACAATCAGAATAAAAACTTAAGCTTTGTAAAATTTTTTTAATGTTACATTTTTCTTTTTCTTTAATAGACACGTCCTCCTGAACTTGACTTGCAAAATATAAATGAAGAAGAACCACCAACTTGGCCAGTTGTAGAAATTGCGGTATTTATTGTTAAGATTTCATTTTACTTTATAGATGTTTGTATTCATAAATATTTCATTATTAACATACAATTTTTAATTCAGATAATGTCAGATGAAGATTGTAAATTTAAAATGCAAAATCAATTTGGACATGAATACAATCCTGATGAATTTGTTCTTTTTCGCATTCATATGTTATATCCAAGAACAATAGTGAGTTTATTAAAATACTTTTTAACTCATGTTTTTAACTTTGTTAGCATTTTCTTTCCAAACATAAAATTAACATTTGAAAATTTCATTTTATAAAAGTTATTTCAAATTGAGTTACTTTATTAAATGAATTTGTATTTTGATTTGAAACTATTAAATATATTTAATCCTTGAATAGATATTTATTAAAACGTTTTTATTGAAAGTATATAATAAAATACAAATTAAGTTCAAAGTAGGAAAATTACATTAAGAAAACATGCATATATTTTTTAAAGTTTTGATACTAAAATCCAGTTAGTCCAGATTTTTTTAACCCAAGAGTACATTCAATATCATATCCACATACATTTAATTTTGAATTTTTTAAAAACTTTATTCCCTGTCCTTGATGAAATTGTCATTATCCTATTAGCATTATCCTCCAAATACTGTCATTCATTCCTGTTAAACCATGTTTTTTGCTTAAATATATATATTAATAGTGACTTCAAATGCTGTTAAGTTATTCACTGCACATGTAGTATCTGAGATTCATTCCGTGTACTTACAAGGTCTGTTCAAAAAGTATCGGACCTTTGGTCGGTAAAAATAAATTTATTGACTTTGAGGTACAAAACCCTAATCCCCTTCAAAGTAGTCTCCTTGGTAATGTATACACTTCTACCAGCGTTTGCTGGAAACACTGCTGGAACGCATCTTTTGGAATGGCCATCAGCTGCTCCGTCGGATTTTGCACGATGTCTTCTCTCGACTAAATTCGGGTTCCTTTTAGCGGCATTTTCAGCTTGGGAAATAGCCAAAGGTCACACGGAGCCATGTGGGGAGAGTACGGAGTGTGACGAACCACAGGAGTGTTATGTTTGGCGACGAAAGCCCAAATCAGATGCGCAGAATGGGCGGATTCGTTATCACAATGGAGCTGCCAAGTTTTGATTGACCACAGATCCGGTCGTTTGCATCGCACAGCATCGGAAAGACGACGAAGGACCTCCTGGTAGTACTCCTTTGCGATGGTTTGGCCTTGTGGTGCGTACTCACAACACACCACCCCACGAGAGTCGAAAAAACTGTCAACATGACCTTTGATATTGCTGCGGACCTGCCGCGCTTTTTTTTAGCCTCAAGGATCGTCCCCGAAAGCCTGCTGAATCTTGCGAATGGTTTACGCTCGGGTATCGCCAAGGTTTTTGGCAAAATTTGATGTAATATCACTGCTCACGTTGTTCAGTCATTTTCCAGCTTAGTGGAATCCGACGAGAGCGCACTACATGACCTCACTCATAGGCCGATTGCCAACGACTGACGCTTCCTGCAGGTGGGAAAAAATTCAGGGCTGTGCATGACTGTTCCTTCCACAACTCCACTGAAGGAGGCCTGTCGCGCATCATTGGTTTACGTGGAAAGAAAAAGGTCCGATACTTTTTGAACAGACCTTGTATGTTAGTGTTTATTTAGTTGCTTTGTATAAACATAGATTAGACCTGAATGTGAGATCCGGAATTTTAGTAACGAAAATCCCACTCTTTTATAACAAGAAAATTAATTAATTTACTTTCGTTTATGTAACGAACTAGAAAAAAAAAATCTTAGCCGGGAATGTGTAAACCTTCCTGTCATAACTATCAACATCTATTGTTTTCTGCAGAACTTGCAGCTCATCTTGCAGAAAAGTTTATAGTTAACATCCAACTTTCGTCACTTGTTTTAGGTCCCTGGGACACCTATAACCTTTAACTCACGAACATCCGATCACGTGGTGGAAATTCCCCACAAAAAGCTATAAAAGACAGTTCTTACCCCCTCTCGGGAGTCTCTTACGAATGCAGGACCGACAACAACGCGCAGATTCTCCAAACTTGCCGAATTTTGATCATCGCCAAAATCGCAAACTTTTTATAATTGTGCTCGTTTGGATTAAACCCACTTTCCTTTGGACATTTAAGTGCCTCCATGGACTTGCTCATCACGGATCCTACAAAGAGGTATGAAAAGCGGGAAAACTCTCTCTCTCGAGAAATTAGGCGGTTTAGAAACACTTTGTGTAGTCTTTTTGTCCATTTTGCTTATTATAATAAATTGTTGTTATATTGGTTAAAAATGGTAGACTCCTTTACTCGATCATGCCCTTCACCTTATTGTCAACCCCAAACTTCTCTCCCTTCACTCACCTGACTTGTCATCCTGACTAGTGAGGCAAACCGGGGAGACCCTTACCTCCCCTGCGGTTCACATGAACAATCCAGATGATTATAGATATGGTTAGGAATATTTTGTGCAACAGGTGCCTGAAGAGGAATTGTATATTTTTGGCACTGCTTTTGATTTGTCAAATATTTGTAGTAAATAGTTGTTTTGTACACAATCGGGAATACTTACCCTGTGTTATGCTTCATACCAATTTCTTGGAAGTATTCCATAGTAACAATAAAATTCAATCAACTATTATTTTTCTATTTTATGTGCAAAATGAATTTTAACATTTCCATATAAATTTTTTCTTGTTAGGTCTACAAAATTGATTTTTATTGTCAAACAGAAGATTATCCAGAATATATTGGCTTTTGTATTATTCTTTCTGAAAGTCTCCAAGGCACTACGGGTTCACATATAGTCCCTATTAATGGAAAATCGGAACGACCAATTGGTCAATTAACTTGTAAGTATTTTTATTTTCTAAAATTTTTCTTCAGAATGTTTGACTTTTGTCGTTTCACCCGTTTATCTGATATCTGATCATATTTTTAATTTAATGAAACATCATTAAAATTTGAATAAATTTAGTTTTTGAAGTTTTTAAATAATCTTTAATTTCAAAACTCTCAATAACTTAAGTTGAATTTTATTTGAGAAATCCAAGATAAATGTTTTTTAATAAGAAAATAAAAATTTTGTTCATAAACTAATAAATTTTTATAATGCTGCTTAAATTATATCATTATTGAAACTACTACTAATAATTTTTACTTTATTTATGTTTTGACATTATTTGTTTTCACTGGCAAAATCTCAAATGGCATCAGACTGAACAAAATTAAATACAGTAATACCCCAAATTTTCACGATAGGTGGGACCGAGCAATAACAACGTAAGTCGAATTCGCAAACAAGTCAGGGTATAATTTCACAATTTGTGTAAAATTCAACTTGGATGTATGTAAGCTAATAAATGTTCTCGTTAATTTTATCTCGTTTTTTGATTCGTTTACAGTTACAAGAAATCACCACATAGTCTCTCAAGACTCCGTAGATATAACAAATACAGAAATAGCTACAATTTATTTTTTGTTATTTATGTGTTCATTCCATGCGACACGTCCGAACATGTAAGCTGAATAATAGTGTGGGGGGGAGTGAGTAATCAAGAGTTGCGTGGTGCTCAAACAAAAGACGAATCAAAGAGATTTGAAAATCGCGTAAGTCAAGGTATTACTGTATGAAAATCTGAAATCAATGTAACATTGAATGATCTTAAGTTTTGGTTATATTAAATATATCCAAATATTCATTTGGCTATATTTAATATCCAATATTCTGTTGTATTTCAAGTAAAGATAAAATTTATATTTAAGTATTCTTAATGAATACAGATAATAAATTTATTTATTCCATTACAGAATATTGGTGATTCATTTTTGTACCAGTAGTAATGTTAATCATTCTATTTAGTGCATTTTTACTATAGATATTTGAATCACTATCTGATTTATTGGTCATTCAAGTAGCTATTAATAATTAAAAAAGCATAACTTATTTATTTGACAATTATTTGATTTTAATGCATTCTTTCTTTTACTAGATATTTTTATGAAAAATTTTTAGTTATCCAAATTCATAGAATTACGGGTAATTTTCCAGTTAATTTATTGATATTACTTAAAACACTATAAAATGCAGAAGAATAATTTTACCAAATTTATGAAGAAATTTATGCATTTATAAAGATTTTTCATTTAAAAACTAATTACTTGAAAAAATTTTAAATTCAACTGCTGTATATGATTTACAAACTATTTACCTATTATATACAGCATTCCTATGCATCTGGAAAGTCTGGGATTTTCATTAGTGTTTGGAAAAAGTCATGGAAATTTGAGTTTTTGTCAAATTGTCAGTTAGGGAATTTGCCTTCTTGGTTTCCTTGATTATTTTTTTTTAATGCTTTATTAAAAAAACTTTTTTTATTAATTTGGCAATTATAAAAAAAAAAAATGTGATTAATGCTGGTGATAGAGATGGAAAATGACTCAATCTCCTGACACCTGAACATGAGAATGGGGAGGCAGTAAATCCCACTTGCTGAACAGGATGGAAATTTGAAAGATCATTGAGGTCTTTCTAAAATATCAGGAGCCTGACACCAGTTAGGATGATTTCTGAATTGTCTTAACTCACTATGAAATGAATGCCATTATCTGAATGGCTTAAAATGTAGGAGGAAGCTACAAATCAGATGGAGTTAGGCATTCAAAAGTGAAACAATAATATTATTATTATTTATTAGATATAAAAACGAACAAAATGAACAACACTAATGAGAGAACAAAATGAACTATAACTACAAGAACAAAATGAGATAAAAATAAGATCTCCATTTCAACAATTTACTCGAGGTGAGAAACCTTTAGATTCAATCTACTTAATCTGTCTTAAGAGAGAATTCACATATTTGATTCAAGTAATACCTCATTTTGGTTCTTTATTTTCTTATGTGTCTAGCGGAACTGGCCACGGTTTCCTTTTGGTTCAAACACAGACTTTCTTGTTCTGTTTCCAATTTCAGCCCATTGGGTATGTGTCTTTCCTATTTATAAGATTTTGTTAGTCCAATGATCTGGAGTGATTCAAGTCACCTGAGGAAAGAAGCAACAAGGAACTTTTGTGGTGTTTATCAAAATCAACATCTCTCCTCAGGAACTTCCTTTTAAATCAAAAGAATTCTGTGACTCACAAATATAAATAGTTTGTCAAATTTTAAATTATTTGTTTATCTATTTAAACAAAGTATTGGCCCCTAGATTTTCACAAATACATATATGATTGTTAATTAGAAAGTTGAAGCAATAATGTATGTGTATAGTGAGTCAAATGCTGTTTTTTTTTTTTTTTTGGTTAATGTGCTATACTGTATGTGAGGATTAGGGAAAGTTGTGGAATTTAAAACAAAACTTTGAGCAGGAACTCAAATTATATTCATATTTTAAATATTAATATACAATTTTATTTAATTTTAATTTATTTCAGTAATAAAATATAAATGTTAAATGAGATACTGCATTTAAGTCTTAAGCTGTAGAAAATGTTTTTTATTGTTAGTTTATCAACTGATACATATACAAACTTTAAAAATTTTCATCCTTCAAAAATTTCTAATATTTTGAGGTATTAAACGCTTGAGTTGCTACAGATAAAAAATTTATTACTCTCTTATTTACATCACCAAACGATCGCCTAAATATCAGGCTATAATACGGCTAATTAAATGATTGGAATAAAGTAATTTGACACTAGAGGTAGACGTTAGGCGCCATCTCTTAAGTAAATTAATAATTAAATAAATAAATCAATAAATAAATTTAGAATCTTCTGGAATAAAAGAACTGGCCCGGGGCGGGACTCGAACCCGCAGCCTCCGCTTGCCGTGCGGCACGCTTACCAGTTCTCTTATTTACTGTGAGTAATAGTTTTTTTCTTACTAGAAATATCCACATATCTGACATGACCATATTCTATTTTGTGAAAAATATAAATGTTGCTCTTTAGTAATTTTATTTTCAATTTATTTTATATGTTACTATTCACTGTTTTGAATGAATCATTGAAATTAATTCACTATTTTATTACTTCTTATATAAAATTACTTAAAATTCTTTTTTATTTTTTAGTTTCTTATTTATTCATTCAACCACTTCAAAGCTATCCATGTGATTTCAGTATAACTTATGCAACACATTGGAAGCATGGATTTACTCAACTAGATGTCGGTCATAGAGGAGCTGGAAAAGTTCGTAGGACTGATACGTAGGCAAATTTTTAAAATTGCTTTTGTCAAGTGTAGTAGTATGTAAAATGCTGTTTGTTTGGATTTCTGAAATATTCAAAAGTACATGGTGCTTCATATAGAAACACCATGGTATAGTTGTATAAAGTATTGTACATAAGCTTTTTAATATTTCCTTGAATAAGCACTCAAGTACTTATTTTGATAAGTCAAAATTTCTGGCACTTATTCAAGGCTGGCAACTATTTGAAACATGGCACTTAGTTTTTACAGTTGATTACTGTGATTTTTGATTTTGCCCCTTCAGTACTTTAATAGTTAAAGTAAAACAGCTTTTAGTATAAACAAAAAAAAAAAATCATCTATCATACCAACACTACTGGTGTGAGAATTAACAAAATAACTACGAAATTACCACAAACCAGCATAAATTCACTTCAAAAACGAACGTTGAAGACGGTAGAAAACGTTCGTTTTTGAAGTTAATTTATGCTGGTTTGTTGGTAATTTCGTAGTTATTTTGTTAAACAAAAAATATATATATACTATATGCTTCCTATTGCTAAAGCCAAATGCTGGTATTTTTATTTATTACTAGTGTAAGTTAACAACAAAATTGATTTTCTTCAACTTGCTTTTGATATTTCTCAATAGTCCAACTAATCATGAAAGCACATCACTGGCAAATATCAGTAGAAGATGGCCATTTTTTTATGACACATTCTTGGTACTAGAATAACACCACGCTTGAGAAATGTGCAACAGCACATTAAGTAAATTTTCCTAAAACAAGCTTTTCTGGAAACATTCTCATCAATGTTGTGCTGTACCATAGTTTGAAATAAAACTCATTTAATATTGATAAAAAGTTTGCAAAATTTTGAAGGATTTTTATATTTTAACATGACACAAGTAAGCACCCCAATGCTATTCATTTGCATGAGTCCAAATCCCAGATGGAGGATAATCAAGTCCAGGTGCCAATTCAATAAAATACAGTAGTTCAAGATTAGTCTAAATTTTTTCATATGCATTGTGTTCCAATAAATCATATTGCTAAGAATATCATTTGGAATTCATGTTAAAAGCTGTTTTATCAACAATGTTATTTACACTTTCAATTATGAACAATTGTGCATCAAAACATTATCTTTTTAATAAATTTTTTTGTATTACTGAAGCATTTAGGAACAAATTAAAATTTTAATTTTTTAAAATATTTTTCATACATTGTTTTAATGTTAATTTATATAATTGGCTGCTTTTAACAAATTGCCTTTTTTTTATTTATTTATTTAACTGAAATTTATTGGTGGTGTTTATACAATTATAATGGACATTAGGATTCTTCTATTTTGCAAAAAGCATTTGGATTCAGAATAAGCTTGCTTTAATTTACATATTTTTTTATAGATTGTAATGATTCTTTAACAAAATTAATTTTTAATAATTAATCCACTGGCATTCATTTTTCTGGAAAAAATTGTTAATACTGTAATCACAAAAAAAGGACACTGTAAGGGATGAGAGGAGAGAGAATTTACTTTTTATTAAAATAACTGTCTGAAATAAAACAAGGGTAATAATTAACTATTTCTTTTAAATAGTAGTTAATTAAAATATCATTATTCTAGATATATATTAACTATCGTCATATTGCAATTGTCAATTTTTATGTAAATTGTATTTCTTGTAGTGCAGCATCTATAATTTGTAATAACTGGTATGTTCATTAATAATTAATTCATTTAAAATAGTAATGATTATAGTTTAAGATTTTCAATCAAGTGATATTTAATTTACTTAAATTTATTAATATATAAGCAAATATTTCAAAATTGATTTTGACTCCTTTCAATGCTGTAATTGGCAGGTAAATCTTTAAAATATTTTTAAGATTTGGTTCAATAATCCTTAATTTTTATGCATTAGTTTTGATTATAAAATTTACTGGATTTCAAATGTAGAATAAATTCTTTCAATTTTGCTATTTATTGCATGAAATAACTTTTGTTTTTATTACATTATTCATATTATATATCATATATTATATATTACATATATTTTAGATAATAAAGATGATAAAATCTCAAATTTTATTAATTTGAAATGTTTATCAATATAGTTTCTTTTAAGGGGTAAATTTGAATTATACTAAAAGCAAATATATATTAGAGCTGCCAACTTTTTTCAGATAAATATATAGCAGCAAAAACAAAAATGCTTTCTGAATAATACATAATTATACATTATTTAATTCTATTGAAATGCAAACTTTGTAGTTTGCTTTATATCATATTTTAAATAACTTGTGTTTGAAACACTTTCCTGTCTGCTGTTTTATATACTTTTGAATAGTAACAAGAACTGTACTTTACTTAAAAGGAAAAACATTTTCATTGATTCTTCCTAATGAGACAGTCAAAATAGATAAACTGTATTACATTGATAAACTGCAAAATCTTCTAGTTTGTCATATATAATAATTTCATCCTTCTTAAATAATTTTGAAAATATGTGAAATACTTAAAGCATTGATTTCCCCCGTTTGCAGAAATCACGAAAGATTCTAAAAAGATTTAAATATATCTTCAACTTATAATATGCACAATTTTAACAAAAATGTTGCAGAGAAAGAACTTCATAAAAATACAATTGTCATGGCAGTGTGTAAATTTTTGGAAAGTTAAGCATCAATGTACTGAATCACATTTCAGATTCTCCATCCATAGCATAGAAATGGATTTCAGCCAAATTCCATTCGAAATTTAATAATTACTATATTTTGTGAAAACGAATATTTTTCTGCAAAACAACTCTCTCAATTTGTCTTGTTACTATATTTTGTTTTCTTTTTAATTTTCTGAGAAATATGTAACAATAGTGCATTTTTAATTTGTTTAGAATTTTTTTATGATGGTCTCTGTTGCCTAATTATAATTTCAGTGCAGGAATTTGTCACAAGACTTCATTTTAAATTTTTTGTTAGATTTCAATGTAGGAATAATTAACAAAAAACAAAGTATAATATTCTATATCTCTAATCAGAGAAAAAAGATATTACAAATCTTCTAAAATGCTTTTCCATTCGTATCTTAATTAGATAAAATTCTTTAAGAGTATATTAAATTTTGATGATATAAATATTTTATTAAAATATTTTTAGCATTTACTTATTTTTACTTTCTGATCATTTTGTCAGTTTCAAGTTGATATTTTACAGATGCTGCCGTGTTTTTAACAATATCAATCATCTTCCTAATGGTGGTATTAGAAAAACTATGAATATAAGTCATTGTTCATAACTAAGTTTAATATTTCATCAATATTATTTAAAATTATTGTGAAACTTCAGCTAAAGTATGCATTTTTATATTATCATTTAATAAAAATAGGCCATAAATTCAATTAATTTTTGATTTTTGTCTCTACAAATTGATCAATTTAGATGATAGAGTAACATTGAAATTTGTAAACAGATAAGTGTCTTCTATACCAATAAGTATGTGACAAAAAAATTTGTAAACTCACTTTTCAAATTCTTCTTTATGGTAATAAAAGTAAAAATTGTTTTTTCCTCTTTCTTTTGTGAAAATTGATTTTTCCAAACATTGCTGTTTTTTCTACATTTTCTACTATAAATATGATCTTTTGAATAGTTAGGTTTTCTTGCTTGTCTTGGTAGTTTGAAAATTAGTATGTTTGTTTCATTGTATGAGTGTGAATGTCATTTTTTAAAGGTATCGGTTAAATTGTTATTTCTAGTTCTATTAATCTGTGTTTAAAAATGATTTTATGATACTGTAATCATATTCATTCATCATACTGTAAAAAATAATGCTATTATAGTTTATAACAGTGAGAATTTAAGCTTAACAAGCAATTTCAGTTGTGCAGTCATCATAGCAATTTGTCATTTTCAAGACTTAAATTACTATGATACATTTTGTAAATGTAATGTTCATGCTAATGTGTTATGAGCATTACAACATTTAATTTAACAATTCTAGAATTTAAAGAAAGCACTGTTTTCTTCTGGATTAATCACAACTAACAGGAATTTGTCAAAATTGCATTTTAATTAAATAAAACTACAAATGTCAAACTTTAAATGAGCTCATTCTACACAAAAACCATCAGTACAGAAAGTTTTTTTTCTGGGCTGTTTTTAGGTGTTCATGTATACTTGTTCTCTGGTACCAAGAGGCTCCTCCCACTGGTCCTCTCAATGCCTTCTTTCAGTTTTTCTCAGGGTGGCAATTTAGCATTCCTAAGGCCAACAATTTCAACTGTATTAACAGTTGAAATTGTTTTATTAACAGTGAGGATAATGTTGGCTGGCTTCATAGCAATTTCAATGGCTGTTATAAAAATCTTAACTTACCAATAGTTATATGTTCAAGTTTATTCTTATTTTAGTTGATTGATGGTTTTTTTTTTGACAAATCTATCAGCATTAAGTAAGAAATTGAATAATAAGTAACATATGAATAAGTAATAATATGGTCTCATCATGAAGTAACAGTAAAATAGAGATTAATGCTAAAAGTTGGTAGATGGCACTGTAATCAATATCAACTAAACTAATTTTTTTTTTTAATGCAAAATGTCTGTCTGCTAATTATGCATTAATTAAAAGTAGGAATGCACAGTCGTGATGAACAATGGGTTCAAACTATTAAGAAAAACTTAATTGTTAGATGGCATGAAAGTGTCCAGCATGCTTTCCCATAGATTTCACATTGTACCTTTTTGTTACTCCATCACAACTGAACCATTGAACCTTTCATAAATCTTTAAGTGGCATCATTTACAGCATACAGTATTTGGTATACTGTATGCTGTAAATGATAATTTGGTATACAGTATATTTGAACTGTGTTTTCAGTTCCAGCCTTTTACTCAAACTAAGTCAGGAAAATGCTTTCAATTAATATATTATATTTATAACACACACACACACACACACACACACACACACACACAATGTTTATAAAAATGTTTTTTATAAAGCAGTTTATACTGAAAAATGTTTATAATGCATTAATTCAACAGAAGTTCATTAGAGTTAAAATATTAAATCAATTTTTAATTTTCTAGTAAGTAAATTTGTACAAAAACAATATTTACAACAATGGCCATTATCATGTATAAGTTTTAGAATCTTAACACTCAATATTATGTAAACATCAATACTTATTTTCTTGATTAACTATGATATGATATGTAAGATTTACTTATTCTAATAAAACTTCTAATTTAGTATTTTAAACTTTTTAATAAATTGAAAATTCTCATTAATTTGTTACTGCATTAAATTTTATATGTTGCAAACTGTGCTCTAAAATAATTTTAAAATATAAAGACTATCATTTGCATGAATCAGTAATTTTTAATAAAAATTTAATTTATGTACAAATTAATGCATCAGTTTTTAACAAAAGTGGAAAACAAATATTTAATTATTGCTATTAACTGTAATGTCATAATTTTCTCAATTATGATTTTATAATTTATAAATAGTTGGCAGCTCTGCTTTAATATTTATAGCTAGAATATTAATTTAAAATAACCAAAAATTAATTTATAGCAAATGGTGTTTATTTAAGTTTCCAGCCAAGCTTGCTTAAATAAAATTAATGTGTAATTTTCAAAATTTTAATTTATACAATTTACATAAGTTTTTCATTTATATTTAAGTGAAATATTTCTTTAATACAGAAGTGACAGTGTATTAGAAAATACAGTGGCATCCTTCAATTATGCTGCAAAACATGCAAGTTGATATTAATTTTATATTACTCTTTTGAATTTAAGATTTAAACTTAATTATGTATGTTTACATTTTATTAAAATAACTTGACTTATTATTTACTAATTTTATTTTAGTTTAATTATTCCTGTATTTCGGTTAACCAATGATCTAAATTTTTTATTTTCAATTAAAAATATAGCCTAATATTTTGTTTAATTGTAAATGTGGCTGTTATAATTAAAGTTTATGTAGTCCAGTACTTCATCAGAAAAAATCATTTATTGAAAAATTTTCAGATTTCATGTTTAAAAATTGATGGGAAAAATATTTATGCAAATCAATCTTGAATTCATCAATTTTCACTGTACTCCATGTAATATATTGTAACTAGAAGTATGTAAAGAATATTGTTTATCATAGTTACATGATATGGCTCTGAAATTTGGAATGCCATGCTGTCCAATTAAAATGCGTGTTATAAAAGATTTAACTTTCAGTTTCCTTACAGATGTTTTAATAAAGTGATTGAAATGAACAAGCAGAAGGACACCCAAAGTAATTTCTCATTTTTGTGAAGTGTACAGTACATAAAGTAACTTTAGGCATACTGCAATGAAATTAGGAGTGCCATCTTATATTAAAGAATCACCAAAACCAAAGGATTATATTTTTCTTTTTTCGTTGTTTATTAAGATGTCCCTTATTTTGACCAAAAAAAATTGTCAAAATGTTTGTGCTCACTCCCTAAATTTTTTTGCATTTGATCAGAATTACTGTTTCATCTCGATATGATGACATTAACCCATGCCGACTTTAGCAAGAAAGTTGAATACGAGGAATGATTAGTGTGGGGGATATTAATTAAGCAACAGTGAAATATCAATAACTAGAAATATAATATTTTATCAAGTTTTTAATATAGTACTTGTACTTGTCTGTAACATTCAATACAAGATTAGAAATTTGTGCATACTTTCTCTTCACTGTTTCTTTTTTGCAATCTGGATATAGGTTTCAATGGTTTTGCACATGATGCAATGCAAACTCCTTTTGTTCTTCAGCCAATAATCTGTGAAAGTCTTGCAATAACAATTCTTTCAGCAGTCATTTACAGCTTTTAACGTGTTAACTGTCCTTTGGACTGCTAAATACAAAGTATTTTTTTTCACGAAGTACATTACTGAAGAAAACCTGTATCTATTTGCAGCCAAGAAAAGAGTTGATACAAAGTCATCAATTGTTTTCTCTAAAATGGGAAATAAATGAGACAAGGTAAAAATGTACTACTATAGTAAAAAGAAAATAACTTGCCAAATAATTTGCTATCAATTTCTTTATGCAGAGGAATAAATTTCCTCCCCATACATCAATGTTCTTTGTCCAGATTTAGCAACATTTTACCTTTTGGTTTGTAGGTCAACATTGTCATCAAAGGGACATAAAACTTAAAAGTCTTTGGATAAATATAAGTGTGGGCTATGCTTCTTTAATTAATAATTTATATAAAGCTGCTGTAGAAATGGTTATCTATCACTTTGTATTATTTTGTATTCAAGAAGCAGAGATCCTGATTAGGGGATCTTATCACTGCACTCCATTTAAGTAAACTGTTACAACAGAGAAATCACAAAGCTTCCTTTTTCTCTGGTGGATAGTTTGTTCTGACCTTAGGAGAAACATTTTTAGGGAATAAATTGTTCTTGTCATCCATCAAGCTTGATGCAAAGCCTTCTGCTTTTTCCCAAAACATCACTCACGAACTAAAAGATTTGCACTTTTACTTAGCTTAACCACTGGTATGTTGTAAAATAAAGAAGTCGGCATTTGTCTATTTCAGGGTAATTGCCTCCTGTTATTTGGTTTCACATTCTCTATCAAAAACACACTATCCTTGGGACTGTGTTATGACACGATGTTAGATATATTTGTGTGTTATTACACTAACATAGCCGGAAACTGAACACAAGCTGACAGTGCTCAACTTACAATGATCAATCCAGGCATGAGTGAAGTGCGGCATGTTCAGATTTGTTTTTGATACGTTGACGCTGAAGTTGGCACAGGTTAATTAATATTCATCAATCACCGAGAAAGTAAATATGGATATGTTTTGAGTGAAAGGGGGAAAATGGGCAGATGGTCATTCAAAAATTTTCAAGTCAGAAAATAAGGGGAACACTAATGATTTCTACATATAGAAATCAAAAAGTGTCATCTTATCACCTATCCACAATGATAACATTAATATAAAATGGCTCTTTAATGGTGGATACAGGGCAAGGACTACAGGTGCTGAATTCTTCCCCATTAACACACACAACAATTAAAATGTACTTCTTTGAACTTCAAAACATTTTTTTAAAAACATTTATGATGAAATGTTTGTTGGATGTAATGCAATTGTCATGCACACATTTCAATAAGTATCTTTTTATTAATAATCATAATTTTTCAATTGGTTCACTTTTTGGATATTTCTGGATCAGCCACTGCTCTCTAGTTTGTCTTTTAGTGTTCCTGTTTTTAACAATATTATTTTTGAGTTGTTTACTGTATTTTTACAAATTTTGAAACATCTTGCATATTTTCTACCATATGGATCTATTGTAGATATTTTGATGATAAACTACTAGTGTTTCCAGTTTTTATTCATGTGTCAGGAAAGGTATTCAGAATGATAAATAAAATTCTTTAACATCCTGTAATTAATCTTTGAATTAAGTGTTTGAACAAATTTTTTTTTCTTATGCCATTATAAATAAATCAAATTTGAAAGTTCTTATGATAAATGATTTTTGATATAGAGGTGTTAAAATAAAATTGTTAAACAGACCATATTTTTTAATTTATGTAAATTAGTCATACATGTAGATATATCTATTTAATTACCATGATTATGCGGTAATTCTTATGAATTTATATATTAAAATTATAACATTTCATATATGTAAATGTCATTGGTGTTTAATTTCCAGATTTAAAGTAATGTATAAATTAAATATGAAATCATCATTATTACACTATCAGAGATGTTACCTTTTACTTCACTATGTAAAGATTTTTTTCATATTACATATCAAATATTTTTTCATATACTCAATAAATGTTAGGAAAAAATCTTGAAAAATTTATGATTTTTTTCATAGAATTCAGTAAAAGCAAATAACACTGAAAGCAGAAAACATTGACATTTCTATTGAGAACCATTCAATAATTGTGTATACAGTTAAAGGGAGCCATGTCAAGAATCATGAAAAGTACATCCTTGTACATGACAGTACCTTGACTTTCCTATCTATCTGTGGACTTTTTTAGTGGCACATGAATTTGATCTTATAAGCCTGCTTGCAACTCCATCTGAAGAAACTACCAGTTAAAAAATTTGTTAAACATTAAGTCATTTCAATTTCAGCAATCCATGAACATGTAAATAAAAGAATGGTTTTCCAAAAGTACATCATTGAACACAACAGGGAGAGATGGGATCAAAAGTAAGTCAAAAAACAGTACACATAATTAATAGATGGTCCAAACAATTGCCAGATTAGATCAGGCTATATTACAGCTGCTGTTAATAATTAAATCCTAAGTAATTTGCACCTGATGCTTACTCCTAAGCCAATCTCTTATTAAATGTAATAATTAATAAATATTAATTTAATTATAATTTAGAAGGTTCTGGAAGAAAAAGGGTTCAGAGTAGGACTTGAATATGCAACTGTTGCTTATCATGCAGAAGCATTCAGTTATGCAATCATTTGGCTTTAATATATCAAGTTCACAGATGTTTGTATTTGTGTGTATGTGTGTATATATATACACACACACAAATACTTGTGTGTGTGTGTGTATATATATATACACTATAATCGATTTGTCCCATAATAAAAATCATTACTTTTTCCTTTTATTATAAATTTTTGGGAAAAAATACCAAAATATTTTCACTGATTTTGAATTACAAAATCTGAAATAAAATTTGACCAAACAAATCTTATACCATTCCTGTCTTTTTATTTTTACAGTTTTAGATTTATTTAAATTTTAACCAATAGGGAGATTTATTTTAACATAACTTATATTATGATAAAATCTTTATCTATTAGAACTATTTTTAATCAGAATTTTTGCTGATTTTTATAACATTTTTAAGAATATATAACTATTAATATACAGTATTTATTAATTTCTACTTTAGTAACAAAAAAAAATGTTTGCTCATTAAAGTTAGTAACAAATCTTGACCTTTACATCTCTCCCCCCTCGGTCTTGCTTAAAAAATCCTTGAAGAGAAGTGAATACAGAAACTAAATGATATTTCAAAAACTTTTTCTTTGTTCTAATTTATGAAAGAAAATACATATATTCAAATTGACACTTTATTATCTAATCTACCTGGATATCTGTGTCAGATATCCAACCAGGCATCCAATCCAGGCATCCAGGTAGATTTCCATGAGATACGCCTCTTACATGACTAATCTAAACCATATGTCCTTTAAACAATTAGAACAAGTGGAAATTTACAAGACCACCCGCCATAACTCTGCCATAAACTATTGCAACATTGACTCCTTCCCCACTGCCTGGAAGTCTTTACAAAATATAAACTCCTCTCTCTTCCCCTCCCTCTCCTCTCTTCTTACATCATACACCTCTTCCTCCTACATGTGTTCAGAAATCCCCAGTTTTTTTCTCAGCAGTTTGTTGCCTGATGATGCTGGTTTAACATTGGTGAAAACATTCACACTCAGTTTATAATTTTGTTGCTGGTTTGTCAAGTTTTTGCACTGTTTATTTTCTAGTTTTAATCAGTTGTAAAGTAGTGAAATTTTTAAAATTTATTTTATAATATGCTCTCTTAAAAGCAATAGAGCTTTTAAATCCTTTCTAAATAGTTTTTGAATTTTGGTTTTATTTTAGCTAATTAAATACTAAAAGTATTTCTGCAAAGTTTCATGTTGCTAATTAATGTGAATTGGGGTTTAAGATCTATTAAAGTTTATGGAATTCTATAATTGAGAATGTGTTAAACTGGATAATTTTGTTATGTAGTTTTTTTGAACATTTTTTTTTCTTATCAATTTTAAAAGCCAAAACTTATTTGGTGAAATCAAAATAGATTATATATCTTATTTTACAATTATCATAATAATAGTGATTTGCAAGGTACAAAATAAATATATCAATTTAGAAAAAAAAATTAATTTAAAGCATTAGTTTTAAAGTTATTGAATAGCGCTTACTATTTAATTTTGAAAGATTTCACTTTAAACTATCAGCACATTATTTTTGCAATAAGGTTTACAATAGAACTTGAAATTTTAATTATTAAATTTGTCAATTTATTTTCTTCAAATATATATTTATTAGAACAGTTTAGTTGTTCTAACAATATTCAATGTTCAACAATATTCAGTTTTTATTTTTTAAGACTAGTTATTATTAAGTTTGTAAATTTTAAATTTATACAAAAAACTAACTATATTAAATGATGAATATAAATTTCTTAATCTTCAACTTACCTAAGATTAAAGAAAAAAATTTATTTAAATTATACATTAATTTATATAATAATAATAATATACATCTTATATAGACTTATGACTTGAAAGTATTAATATTTGGATAATACTTCCAACATTATTATGAAATAAGTCTTTATGATAATATCTGTATATGCTTTACAGGGTGCAGACATGGTAGAATTAGATGTCCAACTGACAAAAGATAAAGTCCCAATTGTATATCATGATTACTATATTTGTCTCTCTCCAAAAAGTGTAAGAATAAGTACTTAATTAGCCAAGAATAACTAACTAAATTCTTAAATTAATTGTTTTGTTTTTAATAGAAAAAGGAATCAAGTACAACAGAACTACTAGAAGTGGCTGTTAAAGACTTGACAGAAAAGCAGCTAAAACAGCTAAAGGTTAACTTAGTTTTAGGTTAAATATTGTGTACAGTTATTTTACTACTATGTTAAATGAAATAACAAGATGCATAGTATAATTCTAAGGTTGAGATAGCTGCTTGAATAATTCCATATCAAGATGTTATTTCCATTTAGATTAATGGAAGTATGAATATTAGAAAATCATTATTCATTTTACTACATGAATTTAAATCAAGTTGAAGCAAAGAATACTGCTTTTATCTCATCCCAAAGTATAAGAAATTTCATAGTGAAGAAATTATTTCTAGCAAGTTTTTCAATCAACATTATATCTACAGTTCTGTTTGAATTTGTGAACAAACTTAATTCATCATTACAACTTTAATAAATTGGTTAAAACAACGGCTGTTCGGATACATTAATTTTTGATCATCATATATATATTTGGAACTTCGCTATTGAGAAGTATGAATCTATTGCTTTCTTTTTAATTTTTATGCAAATAAGGAAAAGCATATGTTATATCTAATATATGAAATATGAATGATTTACAATTAAATTCTTAGTTAAAACTGATCTATTTAAAATTAAATAAATTTAATATTTTTTTCATAGGCTACATTCAAAATTAGTATTCTTTATCACATAAGTATTACATCAGGTTGAAAATCAGTAATATTGACTTATTCTATTTAAGGATAGTATAATTTGAGGTTAAAAAGTACATACTGTCAATATACAATACTTAAAAATTAATTTATTTGGTTGAGATCAAATACAAAGTTATTAATATTCTTTGAATGTAGTAAGCAAAAAAAAGCATTACAGTTAATCTTCTAGTTTTTAACTTAATCATAAATACATTTCTAAAGAACAATTTTTAATATTTTTTTTTATGGGAATGATATTGAATAAGGTTGCTATTTTGACTGCACTTCTGCTGTAGGTGAAAAAAAACACCACTTAGTTGTGCATTTGCATTGCACTGTTGCTGTCTAGAAGTAAATCACATACCACTTTTGACTATTTTATACTACTATTTCTCTTACAATAGACTTATAGATTTCTTTTTATGATTCAACTTATTTTCAAAATTTCATATAATAATTTAAATGTGTTCTCCCAGTTTTTAATTTTATCACTTATAATAAAAATTAAAATTGGTATGCAGTTATTTACTACTAAGCAACAAGTTTTTATCCTAAAACAGAAACTGCACATCAGGTTGTATATAACAAAATATGACCTACTTGAACCTTTAACAGGTGCATACAATGTTCATATTAGAGTTTGATCCAGCTGATTTACCTGAAGATGAACTCAGAAGGGGTTAGGAAAACATTTGTTTTGGATGATTAAACTTCGTATGTACTGTTTTATCCTTTCATAATTATTCAAATTCTACATTCTTTAATTAAATTTCTGCTTTAAAGAGCTATGAATGGTCTTAATGGCTTAATTTTTTTTATTAAACATCCTTTAATATAAAAATATTTTGATTAATTGATTTTCTTATTTATCAATTTAACTTTGTGCATGCATGCCAATAGTAAGCAGTTTTCTGTTGATTTTTTAACCTAATTTAACAGTGCTGATTCTATATAATTAGAACAAAATTCCACTTTAGATAAAATTTAAGGCTCTCACCAGAACCTGCAGTAACTCCTCAATATCCTGCTTGTCTACATCTCCTCCTCTTGCTGTATCGATTAGGTTGACAATTTAGTCAACAATAGACTCTTCTCGTGAGAATCCTTGGATACCTCCAGTCATATCTTCTTCCACACTCCATGTGTTTATCAGCTAATTCTTGCCAAGCAAAGTTCATATGTCTAATGGATATCAGACATATGAACTTTGCTTGGCATGATGATCCATGATGTTATTTTTTCCAAAATAGCACAAAACATAGATTTAAGGGAAGTATAGTGCTAAGATGAATTGCAACCTTTTTGCTGATTGGTTTGTGTTCATAAATAATCATATTATATACAAATCAATGAAATGCTGCGATAATTTGAATCAGTGTAAATTTTGAGCTTTTCTTTTAGGCTTCAAGCAGACTGCATTATATCAAATCAGTGTTAATTGAGGCAGTGTTAAACAGGGTCTTATTGTACTATCATTTCATTTTTTTAATAAATTATTCAAAAATGAAAGCAAATTTTGATTTTAGAATACAGGATATTCTAAAAGCTAAAATATAAAATAAAAATACTATTGTATTGGAGTTAAAATGGTCAAAATAAAGTCTAACACCAATAAGGCACTTGAGTCCATCTTCAGAAAATATAAAATCCAGAAAATATAAAATCCAAATGTCAAACAGAAAATTTACTCAAACATAACATTCTAAAGACTTTCAAATCAAAATAGATACCTATTCATAAACCGTATTTACTGTATAATCAAAAATCTATGTTAATTAACAGATCTTTTAGAATGCTATTTTGTACTTTAAAAACACATAGCATGCAATTTGTGACAATTATAAATTTATGGCTGGTTGTTAATTTTGATAAATTTTCAAAGCATCCTCCTTCTGTAATGTAAGTGTGTAATAGCTGGAACATAAATTAAAAGCAACATACCATACATTCACATTTCCAGCAAATATGTATGTGAATTAAATACAGAATGGAACATTTTGTATTTAATTCAAATATAACTTATAATGGACTTGGATCCAAGACTGCAAACCACTTATAAAAAGATAGCCTTGTGTTAATGTATTTGGCTAATGAATCAGCACAATCCAATCATCTTTGCTCATTATCCAACACCAAAGATAAGATCAAGGGGTATGTTGTCCCCATAATAAACAATAGATTTGAAAGTAGATGCCACATATGTAATATCTCTGAGATCACATTGACACACAGCATTAAAGAACACCTACAGGACATCTGTAATGATAAACTAGTAACAACTCTGATCCAATATGCGAGCAAGTCCAGGGTGTCAATTATCTGGGATAAGGCAAAACTAATAAGTCTTTGATGATCAAATATAAGAACCTTGTAGGCCTGGGAAATTTTTAATGCATCAATCAATGGAAAGTGTATTAAAAGTAATGACTGAGTGACATATCTGCTGCATGGCAGTTGTTGGTTGATAACTCTCTAAAGGGAAGCAGCTAAATGATTTTACAAGATGATACATGCACATACTGAAACTTATCTATAGTGTTGTCTTATAATAGTAATTTGTAGAGTATATGAGAAATGTAACACATGTTAAACATTCAAAAATGACTTGATATCAAAAGGAAAACAATTTTAAAAACATTCTAAAATCTCCAATGTTCTACAAAGTTTGATGCTTGATGTAGGCCCTTAAGAGGCCAAAAAACATTCCATTGTGTGTTTAATTTAAATACATATTTGCTGGAAATGTTTTTTTAAATTCTCATTTTGATTTGAAAGCATTACAGAATGTTATACTTTATTTATTACTCTGAACGATTTACTTTGTATTTTGTTTACATCCTCTAAAGATGAACTTAAGAAATCCAATAGTATGTGTGTGTTTTTATATTAATTTTGATTCATCTTCTGAAATTGTTTTTCTCCAACAAATTGTAATATTAACATACACACCAATTATATTTATGCCACAATTTTGAATTCAGATAAAGTGGCTTTATTATATCTGAAGTAATGTGTAAAGCCTAACTTAAACTTGAATATTAAATTCTATATTTACTATTTAATTTTCTCATAGTAATGCATGGACCTTTCATTAATTATTTGCAATCGTTTTTTTCTTTTTCAGCTCAATCCAGCTACAGGTAAACCATACAAAAATTTTTTAATTATTATAAAATAAGTAATTACATTATATGCATTTTATGCTTATAAAATTCAATGTAGTAGTATGTAATAAAGTATAATTTTATTATATATATTATCTTATGAATAGGGGATACAAATTTATTTAGAGATGATGATTATGAAGATAATCAGCCATTTCCAACATTAGAATATTGTCTGAAAGCTGTTGTGCCTGAAGCTAGCTTTAATATTGAAATAAAAAGTCCAATGCAATTAAGGGTGAACTATGGAAATTCTTTAAGTTAAAATTTAATATTTGATACTAATATTTTAAACTATTGCTACAGGATGGCACTTGGGAGCTTGATCAGCGATTTGAACTTAATGACTACTTAGATAAAATATTAACTATTATTTTAAAATATGCTGGTACACGATACATAATATTATCTTGTTTTGATCCTGATATTTGCAGTATGTAAGTAGTAGTATTTTTTTATATGAAATGTAAAATTGATAGTGAAATGTTTGGAATGTTCAACTCAATATTTGTATATTTTTCAGTTAATCTGATATTTCAGTGTGTTTTTTTACATACATATGAATACACATATCTTATCTGTACTCATAAGTATAGTTATATTTGCATATAAAATTTTATGAAGTTAATTCAGAAATTTACAAATAATTATTACTAGGTTAAGGTATTTTTTATTGCAAAAACTTGTTTGATTTTCACAAAAGAGATTTTAACTATTAAAACATTTTTGTTAGAGTAGTAAATTACAGCCAGAAATTATAAATTTCATTCATAATGATGCAAGATTATGGAAATCAAGTAAATGAAGAGAATTTTTATCAAATAAATATTGATTTGATAAGGTTCACTATTTTTAATTGAAGATAAAATTTTGTTTTCTAAAACATCAAGTTGCAAATTCAACTTCTATCCAATTTTAAAAATTAGTAAACAAGTTATAAAATTGATTTCAACATATACTCAGACTCCTTAAATACTATGACAAACACGTCTTATATCTATGAGAATCAATGTTTATTGCTTTAACAAATGTTTTCAACCTGATCAACAGGCCATCATCAGGTATTTTCAATTCTCTGGAACGTTTTTATAATGGTTCAATATTCAAATGATTATGTGAAAAGAAATTCAAATTTATAAAGTTTTGAACACTTTGTTAAAATATCAAATATAACAAACAGTATAATTATGTGAAATGAAGGAATTAAATAAATAAAATACAATATAAATATACTAACACAATATATGGAATTATATTGACAGAGTGAGAACCTTTATAAATTTGAATTTTTCATATAATCATTCGAATCTATGGAACAATTATAAAAATGCTCCAGAGAATTGAAAATACCTGATGGCCTGTTGATCAGGTTTGAAAATGTTTGTTAAAGCAATAAATGTTGGTTCTCAGAGATATAGTGTGTGTCATAGTATAAAATTGACCATAAATTTAATTTCCTTTTAACATTGTTTAATTTCTTCAAAAATCATCTTCTAAAAGTTATGATTTTTGACTGATTTTTGAGGACATTAATGAAAATTCTGCTATTTTCTGTTTTATTTTTTGATAGATAATCTGAATTTTTCTGATTGATCAAGATTTTTGTAGTGAAAATACAATTTTATTATCTAGTCTTCTATAGATCTTTTTATGAATTTCAAATTAAGAAAAAATTGAATTAATTTTAATTATGCATAGAAATTCTTAAAGAATAAGTTAATTTTTGTTTCAAAGAATTTGAAGATAATGATTTTATATTAGGAGTTTAACTTTGATATATGTTTAAAAATAAAACACTTAAGTTCTTTTGCTGCAAATATGATACACAATGTTACCATTGTGTATCATAATATATATATATGATTGTGTATCATATCATAAATATATGATATGATACACAATGTTACCATTGTGTATCATATCATATATTTGGAGTAAAAGAACTTCTTTCAATGATACACTTAACTTTGTAAAGTATGTAATTTTTATCCAATGCATTTATGTTAAGAAAAAATATTCCATTTTATAGTATAGTACATTTATGTATCATTTTATTTTTAATTAAAAACAAGTCTAATTTTTCCAACATAATTTTTGGCTGAAAAGTAGAGGCCTATAATCAACTAACTTTATTGAACTACTTAGTCTAAATATTGCCCAAAATGTCTAGCATAAACATTTTACATTTAAATTACATTCAAAGCAAGACCTGAAAATAATATACAAAAGTATCTTAAGTGTTTCGTTAAGAATTGCTATGAATTTCACTTGAGTTTGAGATTATGAAAATCATGTGAACTGATGAAAGCAAGCTCTATTAATGGCTAAAGCTATAAGTACACATTCTATCCTGAATATACGTGTGTATTTAATGGACTTTGGAATTACTGAAACAACAAATTTTTGCAAAAAATGTCCAAGATAAAGGCCAAACAGATTTCTTCCATAATAATAAACTTTTAAATTTACCGGATTTATTATTAATTTTTTTCATAGGTAAAATATTTATTTATTACTTAATTAAATGTTTTACCAGAGGATTATTCATCCTATATGGTAATCTCAGCATGAGCATCATCAACTGGTAACAGTTTTTGAATGAGCGGTTTCACTCAACGGCAGGTGAAATAGCGGTTTCACTGCAACGGGGGTGCGCTGCTGTTTGTAGGCATTTTGAACAATGGTGAAAGAAAGATGGTGGCGCATGCACTATCGATAGCATCGTGATGGAGAAATCTATAATATCTGTTGATTTTCTGTACATGTGTTCAACATCATTCAATGTATAAACCAAAAACAAAACTGTCACTTTGGCATGGAAACTTTCCTTGTAAACATGTAATATGATGGATATAATATAAATGATATTTTTGCAGGTCACTGGAGCAGATAATGACTTCAAATTTCATTGTATACATATTTCAAATTATCCAAATTAAAATATACAAAATCCTATTTTCTTGGTCAGGGACTAGACTACAAATTTTGCAACAATACAGGTAACCCCATATAACACGGTGCTTTTATAGCACGGGTTCACTCTAACACGGTTTGGGAATTGGATAAAACCCTCGTACAACATGAAATGTAATAAAGGGTGTGTTCTTTTATAACTCCATGCAAGCATTATAATTGTTTTCGTGGCTACTTTGAATGCTCTTTCAACAAATAATCCATTTAATGGTTAAATTTTACAATTTGGACCCTTCTTTTGCCTCTAAAAGCTCTTTTTAGAATTATAGATTTCTCCATCACAATACTATCGATAGTGCAGGCGCCGCCATCTTTCTTTCACCATTGTTCAAAATGCCTACAAACAGCAGCGCACCCCCGTTGCAGTGCGACCGCTATTAACGAACTCATTCAGAAACTGTTACCAGTTGATGATGCTCATGCTGAGATTACCATATAGGATGAATCCTCTGGTAAAACATTTACTTAAATAATAAATAAGTATTTTACCTACGAAAAAAATGAATAATTAATCCGGTCTAAATAAGGATTTAACAGCATGTTTTTTTAAGTTTTGGAACCTAACCCCCTTTTCGCACTAGTTCTTTGTTTCATATAACACGGATTCGCATAACATGGAAATTTTTTGGAACATAACTCTCGTGTTATACAGGGGTTACCTGTACTTTGAATTATCCTATATCAAAATGAGGTTTTTACTGCATAAAAATTGTTTTTTACCATAGCTAATCAAATTACACATGAATTCTAATGCATGGTTTAGATAACTTTTCATCAGTCCTCTTTATACAACACTTTTTTTCTAACAATTAGTATTTGCATTTTTGAAAAATTTTGTTGTGTGTGAAGGTTTTAATTTCCTGAATTTGCTTTTTAAAAAAATTAAAAGAACCAATATTTAAAAATACTTTCAGTATGTTGCATAAAAAAAATTTTTTTTACTTGATTACTAAAAGTTAGGCAATAATTTTCTTTCAAATATGTAATTATGCAAAAATAAACTTTGTAAAAGTAAAATTTTGAGTTGATATCTTTTAAAAAGATATTTTTAATACAATTGTTAATGCTCTTTCAAATTTTTTTTTGTTATAATACTTGAAACAGTTTAAAATAGTAATATATTAATGAATGAACTAATACTATATACTTCCATCTAAATATTTAGATAATGCTTTTACAGTAAGTATTCAGTTTAATAAATTTTCTGAATGTTGTTCATTGCATTGCCTTCTTTATTATGACAAAACGTATATTAAATATTACTATTACTACTATAAAATTAAAACTTTTCTTTTTGTAATTGTAAGAATGAAATTTTTTGTAAGAAAACTTCTTAAAAATGAACTTTTTAATGGAATTTATTGTTTACAAAATACGCATTGGGTTTTCATATTTAAATAATTATTGTTTAAGAAAGAATAAGTTAATGCAAAATTATGAAAACATCATTGCTGAATATTAATCATAATAATAGAAATCATGCACAAATTGTTTTAAAAAAATAAGATAAATTTTTTCCTGTAAATTATTGATGATGAAAAATTAAACTTTTTAAACAATATTAATTCTGATTATATTAAAATATTATGGTAGATTGTCAATTATCCAAAAAATTTATTAACCAAAATTAACTTTGTAATTTCCAGAATTTGTATTCTCCAAACTTTTATGCAGCTCAACAGCATGCCTACAGATGATTGAATAAATCTTATCATTAGTGTTAGATTTTATTATAGTACTCGTACAAATAGAAAAGCACAATGAGTCACATTTGCTTCTAATGAATCAAATGCTGCATTGTGAGTAAGCACATTTGGTGCATTAGAGACACATTCACATTGTTAGAAATGCAGCCTGAAGCATAAACCTGTTTCAGGTTACTTCAGTTTTCAACTCTTGACGATCAAGCAAGTCGGGTATTTAGAGTTAGAAAGAAAAGCGATGTAAAAACAAAGCAAAATAAGAGACTACTTCAAAAAAGAATGGCAATAAATTTTGAGTTTTGTGCAATATTTAATATTAATTTTTCTATTTTTTTTAATTTGAATTCAAAGTTTCATCATTATGTTGTAGATTACAATGAAAAACTAGTGCTTGTTTTTAATAAATTAAAGACTTCACTTTCTTATTTGTATGTATTAAATTTATGCCTTAATTGCTTTTTGCTATTGTACAAAAATTAATTACCTTTTTATTATATTTTTTTTTTACTCTTTCCCTACTGAATGTGATCAGTTATCTGAAATTGTCCCATCCTGATTATTTTGGATAATGGATGGTCTACTGTATTTAAAGATATTTAATATAAAGCAACTTAAATAGTTTTACATTTGTTGTTTTCATGATTTTATTAAAATGGTTTAGTTTTACTCATTGTTACAATAATAAAACTGAACATAGAAAAATCTGTTTAGTTTAATTCAATATTTTAATTTTTATTCTACTAAATAAATATTTTTAATAGTAAATATTTTGATATAAATAAATTGACAGATTGAATCTAAAATGTTTTTCAGGATTCGAATGAAACAAAATAAGTACCCCTTATTGTTTTTAACTCAAGGTGTTACAGAAAAATATCCTGCTTATTTAGATTTAAGGACATCATCTGTTCCTATGGCTGCATTTTTTGCACTTAGCATTGGAATCCTGGTAAATTTATATTAGAGCTTATTTAAATTAATTTGTTAAATATACTAGATAATAAATTTTAAATATACATGGTAATCACACAATAATTATATCAAATACTGTATATGTAGCAATTAACTATACATAAGTATTTTATGCATAAATTTGAAAAAAAAAATTAATGGCTTCCCTTTTCATTTGGGGAAATTCATAGACTGAATCAATCTCCATGTTTTGTATTTGTCATTCATATCCCATAATTTTTGCTTGTTGAAAGAACAAAAAACTTTTGTTGCTTTCCTCTTACATAGAAATCTCAGAAAATTCAATTTAAATTTTACTGATGAAATTTAAGTTACAGCAGTTATTTTTTCTGAGAAATTGTTTGGTCATCAAATAATTGAATACTATTAATGGCTGAAGTGATTACAGCTCCAGCCTTAATGCTCTGAAATGTCAGATTGAATCCAGGCTGAAACCCCAGAAATTTTTCATGGTCATTCAGTCTGTTCTGGATATTAGACCCCCATCACCTGATTGCTCTATTATGGGCCTGACAAAATACATGATGGGCATGGAAAAAGTCTTCTTGCAAACATGTTTATATTTCTCTTTAAAATGTCTGGTTTTAATTGTTAGATTATAATTTCACTATACATATAATTACTTTCGCAATAAAACTCTTATGAAAATAGATGGAATTTGTTTAGATTTAATGCTATTTTAAATTAAAAGATTAACGTCTTTCAAACCTTTTGGTTTTGTCTTATATAATTCTATGTGAAATACTGTATTTGAGTATATTGAATAATTTCAATAAATTAAAAATACTGTTTTAATTTCTAATATATAATGTTTAATTTTACACGCATTAGGGTATAGATGTTCATGCAGAAGAAATTCTAAAGAATAGATCATTAATAAGTTTTGTGAAAAGTAAAAATCTTGTTCTATTTATTTGGGGAGATGATGTAAATTGCTCACATCTTATTAACAACCTAAAAGAAGAGGGTGTTGATGGTATAATATATGATAAGTAAGTCAATTTTATTATTTATTATAGTCAGTAACATTTTATTTGAAAATTTACAGATTAAAAATTATTATCTAGAAATTAGTGTTAAACAAGTCTTTATAATATTACCTAATCTTGAAAGAAAATATTTTTCTGATAATTATATATTACATTATTTTATTATATAAATTTCAATAAACTGTCAAACGTTGATGTTAATTTTATTAGTAAAGTTTTATAGTATATACATCTGATAGTTTATCTTTTGAAATAAATTGTAATTTTATAGTAATTTATACTTTAATATATTATTTGCTACTTAATGGGCTGCAATTTGAAAAAATTAGGACCTATAAATTCCCACTGTCATCTGTCCTTCTGTGATCTCAAACTGAGTTAGTTAGATGAATGTCAAAACTAGATACAGAAAGCTTAGGAACAGGAAGCCCCAGATTAACTATATATGAACTTTTGGTTTGCACCAGAAATCATGTTATTTCAATTTTCCCCTGAAAGGAGTTAGCTAGAGAGTTGTGCCAGTCATCTCACAGGAAAGTATGATGTACAGAGGCAACACACTACTAATTTGAGATGGAGAGCATATATTTTAAATTAAATTAAAAATGATTAAAAATTGCAGCCAAACATTGACAATGTCACAATAAATAATTGTTCGTTTTATATTTTTACTTTACTGCTTTTGTATTCTTTAAATTTGTTTAAATTATTTGTTTGAATATTCCATTTAAAATTTGAATAAAGTATTACACCTGATAGAATTTAGATTGAAAATAGGTCATGTTTGTGAAGATATGATTACAAAAGTAACAATTTCTCATTCCTGAGTTTGCTTTTGATTATGTATTTCATAAATAAAACAAGTAAAATAGCAAAACCGTATTTGGGACAAGACTTGTCTTGGAGACGGAATCACTTTGATGCTCAAGACAGGTCTCGTTCTCATTCTCCTATCTTCTTTGATATTGCTGCTTTTGGGTGCGATCATTCAAACTTCGCCATCCACGAGATCGTCCATGATGCATCTTCAATGAAATTAACCTATCTAATTTCAAAATTTCTCTCCATTATGTGTCTGCTCGGGTTGAATTTTTGTCGATGCATAACGAAAAGTTCCCATTTTTGAAAAAAATAATTTCGGATGATACAGTAGCCATGATTATTTTTTTTATTTTGCACAAACAATATACAGTTTAACCCAGTTATAATGTCGTTGAATGTAACAACAACCCTAATATAACGTCAAATTTTCATCTGTCCTACAATTTTACTATACTAGATCATGTTAAAAAAAAAAGCCCACTCGTAATGACATAAAACTGTTTTAATGTCATATTTGAATTTACAAAATTAATTACAAATTTTATTTAACACAGAAAAAAACTACGTGTTCGGTCCTAAGGCCAGAGTTAACTTCTTAGAATGATTGTGGGTGGTACTCTCCCCTACCTGACTTCGGTGGGGTGAGGTGGCTTGTTTTGCCTGTATGTGGAAGAAGTTGCCATTTTGTATTTTATTTTGACTCAATTCTCGGTTCCCCGACTACCTACAAGTCTGGATTTTTTTTTATGTGCACCTAATACTCTGTGCCAAATATCAACTCTCGACATGTACTCCTTCATAACTCTATGCTGGAAAGAACATCTGGCAGTAAGATTTTATAAACAAGACATATCTAATTTATTATTGACAAAACTAACTGTATAATCAACAGTATATAATTTATCAGTTGCTTATTTTATTTTATTGTATAAAAACTTATTTCTCTAGTCTACTACTAAAACTTTGTATCTGAGTGTTTTTATTTGTAAGAATTGACAAATTTTAACATAATTTTTGTTTTTTAAACTGTTAAATTTACAGAAAATTTCAATCTTCTTCATGCAAAGTCCTATGTTACTAGTGATGCAGTGGCGTAGCAACCATAACTGGCGCCTGGGGCATGACACTTTATTGATGCCCCCCTCCAGAAGCAAATCTTGTTTGTCTTGGAGACCGGGGCATGATAGACCCCCTTGCCCCTCCCTCACTACGCTAGTGTAGTGATGGTATGCTATCACTTTTAATAGTAACATTTATACTAAATATTTACTATACATTTATGTTATCCTCTAATCTTTATTATTTTTCCTCCTGAAAGTTTTTTCTGAATTTTAAAATTGCTATACAGTTTAAATGTACTTAATACTTTAACTTAATTACACAAATGCATTATGTCCAAGTAGACAATTAAATTCAAGTGTGAATTAAAATTTTTTAAATTTATCCTCACAAAATTTTGATGTAAATGACTCATATCTAAATAATGTATCAGTTTTCTAGACAAAGAAAATTTGAATAGTGTAAAATCTAAAATTTTAATTCAAATTAATTTTTATAAATTTTTGTTTAAATAAATTCAATAATATGCAATAATTTGTTTTTCTTTATAAAATATACAGAAATTATAATAAATCTACATTCAACAAAAGATAGTGAAATTGCATTTTTTACTATGTTTAATTACTTTCTCCAAATTTTCCTTGTGCAATTAAGTTTGTCTTCATTTTTCATATAAGATGTGCAATACCTGTAGATGTCATGAGATGCATTTGTGAAAGACAGAACCTGCAAGATGTCTGGATTAATTCATACCAAAATGGGAAGCAGTTTTTGAATTTTGATTCTGTCAAACATTCTGAAATTGAGTACTCGAGGTGTCATTTATTACGTAATCTGGTCTTTTTGGAGTTTTTTCCTGACATTTTAAATCTGTTTCATATATGGACAATCATTCTAATAGTTCTACATTTCTTAAGTTACTGATATTACAGACAGGATATTAAAATCAAATTTTATCCTGACAATCACTTAAAAGAGGATTTAGATGATTAAGGAAGCCTGCAATGTCTTTTTCAATAACGACAATCACTTGAAACCAATTACTCAATTGTTTGTCCTTGGGTGATTGTCTGAATTGGAAAGACATTGCAGATTTGTTTAATTGTCTAGAAACCATTAAGTGGCTGTCAGAATAAACAATAAAATCTGGTGCACTTATGTCAACCTCTAAAAATCCTACGGATTGTTTAAGATTAGTACAGTAGAACCTCCATTATCCGGACCTCCATTATCCGGATTGTTCAAAATAAACAAAAATTTACGAATTTGCTGATTTGCACTTGGCGAATTACAACACTGTTTATGTACGTGATGGAATGCATAACTTTTTTTGTTTCAACAACGTCTCACCCAGCACAGTGGTCATAAACTCTTAATATATTTTATGTAGTAATAAAAATATAACTTGACATAAGTATTTATAAATAATTTATATTCAAGTTACATCATTTCTATGATTAAGGGCGGTGTAAGGCATGGACGACGTGGGCCACCGCCTATGCCTCGCGGTCCGAAGGGCCTCGCGCCTCGAAGGTTTATGCATTACTTAAAAGCCGCGAACGCGACGAAAAAATTTTACTCGTCATAAAACGATAAATAGTTTGTCAAATTTTTATTCATAAAAATGCAGTTTCAACTGCTTTTTATTTTATAAAATCCGTCTTCTTGCGCCACCAGAGGGCCTTTTAAACAATAGGTAGTCTGTTAGCGTTGGTCAGTAGTAGTCCAAATTCAATACGAACGTTTGTTTCTTGAAAATTTGATCACGATTTAAATACAGTATTTACTTTTAATATTATCGATATGTCATCGAAAAGAAAACGTGTTGTATTATCATTAAAAGACTAATTAAAGTATTTGTTTCGATTATCCGGACTACCTTCATCCCCAATTAGTCCGGATAATCGAGGTTCTACTGTATTTTTTTAATTATATATAAATTTACAATTGTGCATTAGTGTAATGTTTATATGATCAGGAATAACATTTGTTTATATAAAGTGTTTTTTCAGTTTTTGTTTTTTAGTTAAATTATCCAATTTATAAATTTATGCATTAATAAAAAATATGTAGGGCTAAAATGTCTTCACTTTTACCATGTCCAATCACAGGAACAACAATCTTCCACTGCAGAGATGACCTCTCTTCAGAGACTACTCCTTTGAAAAATAGTCTTGGGCTCGTCACCAGAGAACTTTTAAACAATTAAAAAATATATGTAGAAATAAGTAATTGGACTTGGCAAAAGTGAAGACATTTTATTCTTTGTTTATCAAAAATAAAAAGAATCAATTGGAAGAATACTTACAAAGCCAAATTTTTAAAGATTGGTATAGTTTTCTGTTAGAAAGACCAACCAAAATCATAACTGCAAATCTTACATAAAAATCTCTTTAAAAATAAATGCCTTGTAATTATTATTTTTTTTTTATTTTAGAGTTGATGAATTATCTTCAAAAGTAAAGAAAGCCGTTTACGTCATCGACCCAACCTTCCAGTCATCAATTTTAAATGACGTAGAACTGGCTGAAGTTCCAGGTGCAGATTAAAGTAATTGTCAAAACCTTTTTCAGATATTTGTGAACTAATGTACATATTAATACAACTAAAACACATTTTGATGAAAATGTAAATTCTGACTATTTCATCTTCATCCAAAAAGATAACATTCTTTATAAATCCTTTTGTAACTAAATTTAATATATTTTTCTGTGATGGAGTTCAAATGTAAAGATTCAGCCTCTAAATTATGTAGTTAACTAAGAAAATCCCCCAATTTTAAAATGGGAGTGTGTAAAGCCAGGATAGTTGAGTTAGTTGAAAAAATAAGTTTATTGTAAATAAAACTTTCTTGACAGATTTGTCTACTCTGTGATTTTTTTATATGAATCAATTACAAACTGGTCCTAGTCAATTTTTAAGATTTTGTTTATCAAAATTATTTTCATCATATTTTCTTTTAAAACTGATCTGTTAGAGAGACAGACAGGTATTGCAATAAGCTATTTAGAGTTTAGAAATACCTCTAACTGGCCAAAAAAACTTGTTTTTGAGCTTTGACTATACAGCAAAATTCTACCATTTTTACTCTTCAGGCTGAGTTAAGTTGTATTTTAGATACTTTAAAAAACTTGATTTGTAAAATAAGATTGGAGTTGGTCTGTCTTGACATTGTCAAAATGAAGGGAATTTACTAAGTTTGTATATTCTAATAATAATGTAAACCATTCCACAATTAATTATTTACTATGCATTCCTTGATGTGGGGAGCAACATCTCCCAAAAAAATAAGTTTGTGATATTTTATGTTCAATGTATATTGAACATAAAATATCACAAAACTTATATAAATTTATATAAGAATTATTGTTTGTGATATTTTAAAATTTGGGAGCATCTGTCAATATATTTATTTTAATTAATTTAACATTTTTGTAGGTAGCAATATACTTTTAAAGAAAATATCAATGACAACACTGAAAAATGCTCTCAAACTACACCAGCGATTAATCCAAATTTATAGCAAAGGAATCATGTCCCTTTTGATGTAAATGACTCATATCTAAATAATGTATCAGTTTTCTAGACAAAGAAAATTTGAATAGTGTAAAATCTAAAATTTTAATTCAAATTAATTTTTATAAATTTTTGTTTAAATAAATTCAATAATATGCAATAATTTGTTTTTCTTTATAAAATATACAGAAATTATAATAAATCTACATTCAACAAAAGATAGTGAAATTGCATTTTTTACTATGTTTAATTACTTTCTCCAAATTTTCCTTGTGCAATTAAGTTTGTCTTCATTTTTCATATAAGATGTGCAATACCTGTAGATGTCATGAGATGCATTTGTGAAAGACAGAACCTGCAAGATGTCTGGATTAATTCATACCAAAATGGGAAGCAGTTTTTGAATTTTGATTCTGTCAAACATTCTGAAATTGAGTACTCGAGGTGTCATTTATTACGTAATCTGGTCTTTTTGGAGTTTTTTCCTGACATTTTAAATCTGTTTCATATATGGACAATCATTCTAATAGTTCTACATTTCTTAAGTTACTGATATTACAGACAGGATATTAAAATCAAATTTTATCCTGACAATCACTTAAAAGAGGATTTAGATGATTAAGGAAGCCTGCAATGTCTTTTTCAATAACGACAATCACTTGAAACCAATTACTCAATTGTTTGTCCTTGGGTGATTGTCTGAATTGGAAAGACATTGCAGATTTGTTTAATTGTCTAGAAACCATTAAGTGGCTGTCAGAATAAACAATAAAATCTGGTGCACTTATGTCAACCTCTAAAAATCCTACGGATTGTTTAAGATTAGTACAGTAGAACCTCCATTATCCGGACCTCCATTATCCGGATTTCTATAGATCTTTTTATGAATTTCAAATTAAGAAAANGATTTTCCCTTATCCGGACTACCTTCATCCCCAATTAGTCCGGATAATCGAGGTTCTACTGTATTTTTTTAATTATATATAAATTTACAATTGTGCATTAGTGTAATGTTTATATGATCAGGAATAACATTTGTTTATATAAAGTGTTTTTTCAGTTTTTGTTTTTTAGTTAAATTATCCAATTTATAAATTTATGCATTAATAAAAAATATGTAGGGCTAAAATGTCTTCACTTTTACCATGTCCAATCACAGGAACAACAATCTTCCACTGCAGAGATGACCTCTCTTCAGAGACTACTCCTTTGAAAAATAGTCTTGGGCTCGTCACCAGAGAACTTTTAAACAATTAAAAAATATATGTAGAAATAAGTAATTGGACTTGGCAAAAGTGAAGACATTTTATTCTTTGTTTATCAAAAATAAAAAGAATCAATTGGAAGAATACTTACAAAGCCAAATTTTTAAAGATTGGTATAGTTTTCTGTTAGAAAGACCAACCAAAATCATAACTGCAAATCTTACATAAAAATCTCTTTAAAAATAAATGCCTTGTAATTATTATTTTTTTTTTATTTTAGAGTTGATGAATTATCTTCAAAAGTAAAGAAAGCCGTTTACGTCATCGACCCAACCTTCCAGTCATCAATTTTAAATGACGTAGAACTGGCTGAAGTTCCAGGTGCAGATTAAAGTAATTGTCAAAACCTTTTTCAGATATTTGTGAACTAATGTACATATTAATACAACTAAAACACATTTTGATGAAAATGTAAATTCTGACTATTTCATCTTCATCCAAAAAGATAACATTCTTTATAAATCCTTTTGTAACTAAATTTAATATATTTTTCTGTGATGGAGTTCAAATGTAAAGATTCAGCCTCTAAATTATGTAGTTAACTAAGAAAATCCCCCAATTTTAAAATGGGAGTGTGTAAAGCCAGGATAGTTGAGTTAGTTGAAAAAATAAGTTTATTGTAAATAAAACTTTCTTGACAGATTTGTCTACTCTGTGATTTTTTTATATGAATCAATTACAAACTGGTCCTAGTCAATTTTTAAGATTTTGTTTATCAAAATTATTTTCATCATATTTTCTTTTAAAACTGATCTGTTAGAGAGACAGACAGGTATTGCAATAAGCTATTTAGAGTTTAGAAATACCTCTAACTGGCCAAAAAAACTTGTTTTTGAGCTTTGACTATACAGCAAAATTCTACCATTTTTACTCTTCAGGCTGAGTTAAGTTGTATTTTAGATACTTTAAAAAACTTGATTTGTAAAATAAGATTGGAGTTGGTCTGTCTTGACATTGTCAAAATGAAGGGAATTTACTAAGTTTGTATATTCTAATAATAATGTAAACCATTCCACAATTAATTATTTACTATGCATTCCTTGATGTGGGGAGCAACATCTCCCAAAAAAATAAGTTTGTGATATTTTATGTTCAATGTATATTGAACATAAAATATCACAAAACTTATATAAATTTATATAAGAATTATTGTTTGTGATATTTTAAAATTTGGGAGCATCTGTCAATATATTTATTTTAATTAATTTAACATTTTTGTAGGTAGCAATATACTTTTAAAGAAAATATCAATGACAACACTGAAAAATGCTCTCAAACTACACCAGCGATTAATCCAAATTTATAGCAAAGGAATCATGTCCCCTAAAGCAAAAGGTTAACATTCTTTTCCTTAATTGAAACCAAGGTTCCAATAAAATTTTTAGTGCTTTTCTTCCTCCTCACAAAAATTACACAATTCTCTCGGGTAATTATTTAAAATAAAAAACACTGAACTACATCTGGCCTGTATAAAGAAAGACAAGAGAAACATCTTGATTAAGGAATTGTTAAATATTATTTTATAATTATTTTTATAAGAAACCAGTCTATACATGATATGGTATTAATTTTATAAAATCTAAATTAATCTTTACACATACTGATAAGAAAACTAGTCCATTCTATATGATTCTTACCCAGCAAAAACTTCAAGCATACCTTACTCAAACAATTCATCAAAATTAGTAATCCTATCAAGCCAATTCCTTAACCTTCTAAAAATCATAAGTTTATTCATGACGACTGCTATAAAATAACCCAGTGTACAATGAGTAAACAAAAATATACAGATTATTAACTGAGGTGCATAAGAAAGAAGGCAAAAACCAGTTTTTGATAAATGTAAACAAATAATCATTCAAATTACAATTTCCCTAATCAATAATCTAGCACGAATTTTCTTATTGATATAATGCATCCAAAATATAGACCATTAGCTGAAAAAGTAGCACCCAAATATATGTAATTGAAAACAACCTTAAATGGTGGTTAAGGGTACAATTCATCTGTCTTTAGACTTTTAGCACCTCTATGAAAAACAACCACCTTAGACTTATTCAATTTCAAACCATTTTCATTTAAAGTTAGGCTTAAGAGACTGACACGTTGACAATCAGTGAGTCAGATAAAAATTAAAACACCATCTATTTCTATACCATTGTCCAAAAAGATCATTCGAGCCCAATCTTGTTTAGCATTTTTTTAAGATACAACCCTGCGTAACACCAATCTTAGAAAACATTAATGACAGACACCTCCATACCATAAGCGAGGATTTTCATACGAAGCAGAGAGTAAAGACACAAACTTATAACTAAAACCATAACAAATGAAGATAAATCGACAAAAGCATATACCTTTTTTTATATATACAATTATTCAAAAATCTAATGTTGAATAACTAGCCCAAAATACATCTTTAACATATAACCATCAAATCAATCTTCTATACAAAATAGAAACACACAACCAAATCCCTCCCTATAATTACCAGGAACATCTCTTCCCATTGTCAAAAATCAGAATTAAAATACTTGTTTTCCAACACTCCAGTATTTTCCCAGTATCAAATTCTTTTTTTAAACACTTGGCTTTTAGACCATCTTTTTAATATTCCATTGAGATCCCATCAAACCTGGAGCCTTCTTTCACTTATATCCTCTTGGAGCATAATCCAACTCACCTACAGTAAATTCATGGTTCAAAAGTTCATCATACCAATTCCAACAATAGTTGAAAATCAGATCCTTACTTTGTGGATAATTCAAAGAGATAAAACCAAAATTATGAAACTTAACTCCAAAAATGTTAAGGAGGATATTTCCAACATGTTATCTTTATTTGCTGGTAAAATTCAAACTGTTTTAGTAATTTTTTTTTGCAATATGAAACTGCTTCACCAAACTTCGTAACATTACAAAACGCAAATGGTCATTAGGTTCATTGCTCTTCCTAAATGATCTCCAGGCTCTATTCCTAGCATTAATTAACATCCTACAATTTGAATTAAACCATGGCAAAGAATCTTTCTCTTCTAATATTAAATCATTAAATCTAATGTTAAGCCAAATTAAAAAG